GATAAGCCACAACTGCAATAGCAAATGACATTTCATTTATGCTTTGGGTATGTATAACTTCCTTGTATGATCTGTGCATACAAGAGGGTGCTCTGGGGATGGCAAATACAATTCACCAAACATACACTTCTTTATTTGTATAGATTCTCTTCCAGGCTAAAAACCTCAGATAATGAAAGCATGGATAACTAGACCTTGAAAATAAGTACTTTTTATTTATTAGTCGCATTTATTTATTCATTAGTCGCATTTCTATGCCGCCCAACTCCCTAGGGACTCTGGGCGGCTTACAGCAAAAAAACAATGCGAACAATATCCTGTAAACATTTTTTAAAAGAACATTAAAAACCCATACACTCCACTCCATGGCCGGGTCTTGCAAGATCGCCGTAGCGAGATCAACGGCCCCAGACCTGCCGGAAAAGCCAGGTCTTCACTGCTTTCCAGAAGGCCAATAGGGTTGGGGCGGTCTGGACCTCAGGAGGTAATTGGTTCCAGAGAGCTGGGGCAGCCACAGAGAAGGCCCTCCCCCGCAGGCCCGCCAACCAACATTGTTTAGCTGACAGGACCCGGAGGAGACCAACTCTATAGTATCTTACCAGTCGATGGGAGCTGTGCGGTAGAAGGCGGTCTCGAAGATAGCCTGGCCCTGAGCCCTGTAGGGCTTTAAAGGTAATAACCAACATCTTGAATTGCGTCCGGAGACTGATAGGGAGCCAGTGCAGCTTGCGGAGAATTGGTGTAATGTGGGTGTATCTAGGTGCACCCACAGTAGCTCGTGCGGCTGCATTCTGTGCATTATATGTGCAAAAATCTATCTGCAATTTGCATGTGTATAAAATAACTTCCCCAAGCCACCCTCTAAAAATCTACTCCAAACAGAAAAACATGCACCCCAAATCACATGTATATTAAACTTTTTACCATTGATAATAAAGCCTGGTTGCTTTTATCCATCACAAACACCCCTAAACACAAATAATGGAACTGTGAATAATGAGGACATTTGCATAATAATAGGAACAAAGATTATTATAAGATCTCTAGTGGATTCCTCAAATTGGCCTTTTCCTCCTTCACGGATTTTATCATGAAAACATAAGAATGGGTGGGAGACAATAAGAAGGTTACATATAATGCCATCTCAGTCCCTGTAAATTGAATCAAAAATTTAAAGACCCTTTTCCTTTTAATTGAAGCTGCCCCTTGCCTATTCAATGTTATTGCTGCATATCTTGCAAAGATATAATATTTAGGCTAATTAAAAGACCAAGTCTATCTCTCCATGTGTATATATGTATATATGTATATACTGGATGGATGGGTGGGTGGGTGGGTGGGTGGAGAGAGAGAGAAAGAGAGAGAGATATGATAGATATATGATAGATTTATTTATTTATTTATTTATTTATTTATTTATTTATTTATTTATTTATTTATTTATTTATTTATTTATTTATATGCCACCCTTCTCCAGAGACTCAGGGCGGCTTACAATGTGTTAAACAATAGCTGTCATACTTTTGTATATACCTGCTTAGTAGGGCTTTTGGGCCCCCCCTAAGTGGTGTTCTTTTTTATACTAAGTCAGCTTATTACCCCCACAATCTGGGTCCTCATTTTACCTACCTCGGAAGGATGGAAGGCTGAGTCAACCTTGAGCTTGGTGAGATTTGAACTCGCAATAATTGCAGGCAGCTGGCAGCTAAGAGCTACTTAACAGCACTTTAGTCTGCTGTACCACCAAGGCTCCTTAGCACCACCAAGGTTCCTTAAGATAGATAGATAGATAGATAGATAGATAGATAGATAGATAGATAGATAGATAGATAGATAGACAGACAGACAGACAGACAGACAGACAGACAGACAGACAGACAATGCCATTTACCTGAAATGATAAATAGTGAAGGTTTTTTTCCAGGCTGTAATTAAATTCATACATGCATAATACTGTATGTATGACTTCGTCAGTATGTAGGAATTTCTGGTGAGAGATAGAGAAGTAGAAATAAGCCTATTTATACACAGAGACAGATGTGCTAAGCTTTCATTCTTTTTTTAAAAAAATTGTCATTAAAGTCTGACAAATCACAGGTCAAAACCTATAAGGGAAGGATTTATTGGTGCCAGGACTAGGATGCAAAAATCTGGGTGGCGTGGCCACTATATATCTTTGCTGCCATCTGTTGAGTTCTGAATTTTTGCAATTCAGATCTGGCAACCCTAGCACACGATCCCACAAAATGGGAGGAAGTTAGTGAAATGTTTGCTCTCAAGGGTAAGCACCCTCCATTTCCCCCCTTCCTTTTCAAAGCATCTGATATGTTTGAGGATTTGCATAGTGTGTAGATCACAACCACAGGTAGTCAAATAGCAACTGTTTTCCATAGGAGGAAATGATTCTTAAATCTCAGTTTATGTACATGGAAATATTTTGACAGCAAGTTGGCTTCTAGAGCAAGCCTTCTGTCTGATGTATTCAAAGTAGGCTCAGTGATTGCCATTTTTACAAGCTCATTCCAGTTTAGTTTGTAACTTTCTTATGAATATTATCTCTCTCTCTTTCATATTTTCATTGCTAAAAATGTTAACTTCATAGATTTTGAAGAAACACTCAAATCATCTCTGCTTCATGCCACTTCTATCCAATTTTCTATTTTAAAATTTTTAATGTAAATGAGAGAGAGATTTCCCACTGCTCAATCATCTTCTAAAGTAAAAGTATTTTTTTTTCTTTTGCTGCATGAAAAACTCCCTAGAATTAATTCGAGCTGTGTGCAGATTTCAGACAGCCATTGCAGAATAATCCAGGGAGATTGCAGAGCTAAAGGCTTCAAAGCATAACTGGTAAACTACATTAAACCATTGTTTAGTTAACCATGATATACTAAGTAGACCATATCTGGTCCACTTTACATAATGTACTGAAGCATAAACTCAGTTTACCAACTATGTTGGGGATCTCTTTGCATGGCTAACCCTGTCTACTTCTCCCATTGGCAAGCAGTCCCAGCTCCGGGCATGAAATGGAGATCAGCTATCTTCAACAACCTTTCAACTGCAACAAAGGATTTGCTGGCTTATGATTTTATTTTATTGTATTTCAGAATAACCAAATAACGGAATGACAGAGTTGGAAGGGACCTTTGAGGTCTTCTAGTCCAACCCCTGCTCAGGCAGGAAGCCCTATGCCCCTGATGGCGAACCTGTGGCACGTGTGTCAGAGGTGACACGCAGCATCCTCGCTGTGGGCACACGAGCTCTTCTCCCAGCTCAGCTCTGCCGCATGCGCCCATGCTTCCTGCTGGCCAGCTGATCTTTGGGTCTCTGCCGCGCATGCATGGAGGGGCAGGGTGCATGTGGGGTCCACGCACGCATCCGGGGGCGCATGAGCATGGGGCAGGGCTCACATGGGGGACCGCATGCACATTGCATTTTGGGGGTTCAGGCACGCATGTGCACATTCGTGAGTGCACACACCCACTTTGGGCACTCGGTCCGGAAAAGGTTAGCCATCACTGCCCTATTCCATTTCAGACAAATGGTTGTCCAATCTCTTTTTAAAAACTTCCAGTATTGGAGAACCCACAACTTCTGGAGGCAAGTTGTTCCACTGATTAATTGTTCTAACTGTGAGGAAATTTCTCCATAGTTCTCTCCTTGATTAGCTTCTCTCCTTGATTAGGTTCCATCCATTGCTTTTTGTCCTGCCTTCAGGTGCCTCTTCTTTGTGGCAACCTCTTAGATCAATGATGGCTAACCTTTTTGCTGTTGTGTGCCAAAAGTGGGGGGAGCACGGGGGGGGTCATACACACATGTGCCTACACCCATAATGCAATGCCCCCCGCGTGTCCTGCCCCCCATGCATGCACGGACCCCCTCACACTCCCCCTCCCTTGCGCATGCATGCATGTGCCCCCCCACGCATGCGTCACGTCCTCATGTGAGAGACCCAAACATCAGATTGCCAGCAGGAGGCATGCACAGATGCGCAGTGGAGCTGAGCTGGGCGATGGCTCACGTGCCAGCAGAGAGGGCTCCGTGTGCCATCTGTGGCACGCGTGCCATAGGTTCGCCATCACAGGAATAGGGCTTCCTGCCTGAGCAGAATTGAGCCGGGGTTGGGTTGGACTAGAAGACCTCCAAGGTCTCTTCAAACTCTGTTATTCTGTTAAATTAAATTCATGAAGGTTCAAGACCCTGTTATGAGATGTAAGCTAACATTTTAAAATAGCTCACCCTATCCTTCTGTGCTTGAATGATACAGGACAAGTAGAACTAGCTTCTAAAGAAATAACAACAATAGTATATTTTATAGGGAAATTGTGTTAGGGATATGGAGTATAGGGATTTGGGAAGTTCTTCTCTTTCATCTAATATAGTGAGGAGCCATGGTGACACAGTGGTTAGAATGCAGTATTGCATTCTGCCCACAGCCTGGAATTTGATCCTAAGGGGCTCAAAGTTGACTCAGCCTTCTATCCTTCCAAAGTCAGTAAAATGAGGACCCAGATTATTGGGGGCAATATGCTGACACTGTAAACCACTGTAAATAATCTGGGAGTGCTGTAAAGCACTATGGAGTGGTATATAAGTCTAAGTGCTATTGCTATAATGTTTCTCAAACTTAGCAACTTTAAAAATATATTGACTTTCAACACTCAGAATTCTTCAGCCAGTCCATACATCTTAAAGTTGCCAAGTTTGAGAAGCACTGAACAGGCAAGCAGTAGCTACACTTTGTGAAGAGGCCACAGTTAATAAAGGAAGGGAACAATGATAACTCAGTTTCTCAAAGAAAAACAGAGCAGCCAGTTAACTAAGTATCTTGGCTTTTTTCAGTGTCATACTCTCTGGATATATTGGACCTACAAATTCTCTAATTCCCTGCGTACTGAGAAGAGCTGTCCGAATTCCCTGCCATAATGTTTAACGTTGAGAAATGAATAAGAAGTCTCAGAAAGGAAAGGAATGTTGAAATAATTTCTGCATTGCTGAAGAGAGAAGCAGAAGCTTTGATGAGGAAGTTGAGAGCAGGAAACCCTCGCTAGTTGGTTTCTTTTTTGCAGTTGATGGTTCCTGTTGATCACGTCTGTCTACCTAGCCCGCCGTTTCTGGATTTTTCAGCGTTTACCTGTCTGCTTTAGAAAAACCATCGTTTGCCTATGCAGATCAGGAGCTCAACGTTTGTCTCTGGAAACCACCCTAGGCATTTTCCCTGCCTATAAAGCATGTTGGTTCCTGAAATAATAGTGAGCACCATGTGAGGAGAAGCTCCAAAAGGCAGAAAGGAGGCAGAGGCAAAGGAAGAGGAAGAGAAGAGAGAGACACCCCCCCGCCCAACCATCTGCGGGTGGTGGAATGCCACAATGTCAGTGCTTACTCCTATCCTGACCCCTTCTAAGGTGGAGAAGTACATGACTGAAGGTGAACGCTTTATCAAATGGGATGACGTAAGTACCATGGCAATTCTCGCTTTGATATGAACATGGGAGAAAAACCATTTGGAGGCTCTGGATCACGTGCCTGGTGTTACACATACATGGTGTAATGAACATCCATGATTGTGGGTTAAGGTGGCTTTGTGTCTTAGCAAATTGAGGACAATCTCTGGTTCCAATTTTGCCTGTTTCAGGAAGGCAGAGCAGCAGGGCCTTTAATAGCTCCTAGAAAGGGGCTGAGATGATATACAGTACAATACAAATGTATCTCTGGATTGATGAATTGCTTCCTTTTGTATCACCCTGACAGAGAGATTAAGAGATTTTTGGTGGAGGCCTTTTAATAAGTAAATTTCTTTCTATGTAATACTGAAATGTGGTCATATCAATCTGTGGTGATGTGTATTACTCAGCATCCCAATTTACTAGTTCCTTAATAATGCAACTTGTAAAATTAAGATTAACTGCAGTTTTCAAATACTTCACAAAATTTGGCAGAAAGCACACAAAAGGATCCTATTGATATCCATCATGGCTTTAGGTGAAATGGAAAAAGCTCTATGTTTAAATGGTAATAACTAAAGTCTGTCTGTCAACAAGGAATCCATTGTGGCTCTTCGTATTTCTGCAGATTCCAAGGTCGCAGAATGTTCATTTTGCAGAAAGTATCAATAAGAAAAAATATATTGCCACATCCTTTGATTAGTAAAAAATATTGCCTTTTGCAAAACAAATAGAACACATATGTCCAATAATCATTCATTGGCATCTGGAATAATATATAATAAATTTTCCAATTTCTTAATATATTTCTTTTTGTCTCTTCACTCTCCAAACTTGATAAACAATCAAATCCCAGTATTTTGGTAAATAAGTCAATATTACATTCACATCTTCAACATTTAAATGTAGTCCCATGAATCTACCAGTGTACTTTAATACACATTTCCAAAAGGGTAATAAATTATCAATATTTTCTACCAGTCACATACTCTTCATAGTATAATAGGTTAGCTGTGGAGTAACACAAAGCAGTATATGATGGAAGTAAAGCATGCATGATAATCAATAGAATGCTGAGTGAATTGTTTAACACTATACAGGGAATAGAAAAGGGGATGGAATCTCGGTTGTTTAATGTATGCATGAATAAATATATAAGGAATGCATGTGTGAACATAAGACATATGCTTGTTGCAAATGTGAATGTGTGTGTGCCTTTTTATGAAGACTATGTCATTTTGCTGGCTGAGAACCCAAATGCTTTGCACAGTATATTATCTAGATTGCATAATGCAATGAAAAGGATGGCTTGGATAAGATATAGCCATGTGATGGTAAATGTTTTAAAGTTATGCACCTGTAACGAAGAATTAGCTAGTTGATGAATTTGTATATATATATATTGGTAGAATGTTGTCTAAAGATGGAAAAATGGCTGGAGAAATTTTAAGACATGCAATATTTGTAGAATGATCGTGAGCAGTATATGGTCTGTGGCAAATAATAAATGTTTGATAATGTTGATAGCAGGGATGAGGACTGAATGCAAAAGAAATACAAGAAAAAAGAGCAAGTTGGTAGGAAAACTAAAAATATTATGGTTGGATGGAGTCCAAAAAGAGAGGCGAGAAATGTAAATTACACACCCACACAAATATGAATTGATGTTTAGATATGATAACATGCTAAAGGCTAGCTTACAAGGATAGAAAACTTTGGGAAGCTATAATGAATGTTTTTGTGTAAACTAGATTTAGCTACGTTAGCTGTTTCCTTTTCTCCCCTGCCTTTTATTTCCTTTACTTAACTGCTCACTTTTTTTCCTCCTGTGCTTTGCATAAGATTGCTAAATTCTGGCATAGTTGTCCTTAGCGTACTTTCTACTAAAAAGAGAATTGCCACGAAAGAGGGCAGAAGAGGGCAGACTTGCACAAAGGCTTACATCTGCTGACGGAGTGTAAAGATGCAATTTTAGAAACGATGATTATAATTTGTACAGAAATACAGCACATCTTATCATAGTGGGTAAAGAGTGTTACCAATATCAAGTGCTGGATATTCCAATGTGTTATGACTGTGGATGGCAACTTCTCAATGTTTGCTCTTCCATCTTAATGCTTTCCTATCAATAAACTTGACTCAGACTGAACAGCCCTTGAAATTAAGAATACATTCTTAAAAGCAGAGGGCTGTCTTCTTCTAAAGAGAGACACTCTATTCTAAAATGATTAAATGGCCACACTTAATAATCAAGAAGATGCGAGCAGTATACAAGAATGTAACTAAATATAACATCTCCTTTTTTTCTTCAAGCTTCTTGAGAATGATCATTGCTCAGTAATGAGGAAGCTGAAGCAGTATATTTTATCTCTCTATCTCTATTTATATCTGTTTTAGATATTGTATTAAAATTGCTATCAGTAGCAGTGTCCAAATTGGGAACAAGTGCATCGAAATTAGCTAGGTTATTTGTTACCCCCTCATGGACTAGCTTTGCAAACATTTTATTGATTTTATTAATTAAATGTATATGCCACTCATCTCACTCTGCAAAATGACTCTGGGCAGCCTACAATTAAACTCATAAATGTAATAATACAATATAAAACATTAAATAAGCAGACAGCAAGCAAAAAGCAAGATGGATATGATGGTAGCATTGTCCCTGTTAATCCACCACACCAGTTTGGGTTTTATTGCTTAGATTCAAGTTGGAACAAGCTGTCACTTGGACATAAACTGTTGTAACAATCCTATCTTTTGCAAATGTCCACTGTAAATTTTTCTTTGGATTAAATGCCATCTCAGCCTTTCATATTGAAGCAGATCAGTGCAAATCTCCTCATGGCATTTATACTATGTGGTACAATGACAATACCTATGTTAGAAGATGAAAGGTATATTCTGAATTAAGACAATTTTAGAGTTTCAGCTAATGCTGAATAAAGTTGTTAACATGGAACAAGTCGGGAACTGACCTCAGCAGTACTGGAAATCTTATAATTGGTTTCTTAACGTCCATTTGAAGTTACGATGGACCCACTGGGGGCTAGATATGACCTGGATTCAGAGTTCTGACAGTTGGGGGGCCCCATGTTTACGTTTTGAGCTCTGTAAATTTTGATCACATGACCATGGGGATGCTGCAACAGTGTGCAACGTAAGTGTGAAAAATGGTCATAAGTCACATTTCAGTGCCATTGTAACTTTGAATGGTCACTAAACAAATGGTTGTCAGTTGAGGACTATTTGTATTCATTTTCTTTGTTTCTTATCTCAATAAAAAAATGTATAAATTAAGATTTTTTAACTTTGCATCTTTTTCCTCCCAGGAATCTGCAAATGCACACCCTGTCATTCTACGGGTGGATCCAAAAGGATTTTATCTTTATTGGACTTTTCAAAATAAGGTAGGTCCTGACCGCCAGAAGCCACGGTATACACCATGGTATACAGTAAATGTTTTCAGAAACAAATCACACTCCTAACATATATCATAGCTGTTCTCTAAACTATGATCTGAAAATCATCAGCAGACTGCATAATCTGTGCTGGAGATTTTAATTTAAGATCCTCAGATTGGAAAAAAAAAATATTCTTAAAATTGGAAGGCATTATAAGGCATATATATTAGAAATATTTGGCATTGTTAGAATCCAAAATGAGGAAAATCCTTTTTTAATAAGTACATTAAAATTGCTTTGGATTAGATATATTTTTAGTCCTTCTGTTTTGGTGGATCAGTAGGCCTTGTTACAATCACAGACCATACTCTAGGGACTCTGACTGTGAATTTTAGCAATTACAGTTCAGCTAATTTTAGATGGCATTTTAACATTTGTCTCTTAAGAGATTAACATTTTTCAGAATAATTGAAATTAAAAAAAAAAAATTGGAGTTCTACCAAGTTGTTAAGTCACTGCGGTAAGCATAAGATATCTATCAGGAGGACCCATTATTGCTTTCATTTTAGCAAAAAGGAGATTTAGAGACTCTAATTTTGAACAATTAGAAAATAAGATTAAAAATTCATTTTTGTTATATGCTAGAAACAACACAGACAGCTCACATCAAACATTTAAAACAACAAAATTTAGGGGGATTCTATGCTCAGAACAATTTGAATACCCCAAAATGTTTCAGCCAGAAGTATTGGTAATCTGGAGAAGCTGTAAATTTTTGGCATTATTATTTGATACAACAAAAATAATGAAATTTTATATCTGGAATTCAGACCAATGATGGATAGATATTTTGTGAGCCAGGCTCTATCAATTATCAGTTTTATTATATTTTTATTATATTATATTTATAGTCAGGTACATCAAGTAAGCAACCCTTAACTAAAAAGCAAGGAAGTAACAATTTCCTGGGAAATATTGAAATGGAAAAGTTTTTTTTAGATAGGAAAAATAAAAATTACAAGAAATCTCAGAGATGTTGTAATCCATGAAACTGAGGAGAACTCTGAAACAAATGGTGTTTCAGTTGCATGGTCGGGAACTCTTATAGTCTAATTGGAACTGATGTTGGTGGAGGCCTATAGTCAATCATTTAATACTTCTAAATTCCCTGTATGGTTTTATGATGCTTATATTACAGTAATATTAAAGCCTGAGAAAGACCCCACAGGATTACAGGGAATGGACTAATATCTTTGCTTAATGCGGACACTAAACACTAGACGGGTTTCAGAAAATAATACCATTTATAATTCAGCCATCGTATTCTGGATTTATAAAAAAAATAGATAAGCATCTGCTTGGTGATTGTTATTATAGATATCATCAGTGGTAAAATGCAAATTTTTTTACTACCGGTTCTGTGGGCATGGCTTGGTGGGCGTGGCTTGATGGGCATGGCAGGGGAAGGATACTGCAAAATCTCTATTTCCACCACACTCCAGGGTAAGGATACTGCAAAATCCCCATTCCCTCCCCTCTCTGGGACCAGCCAGAGGTGGTATTTACCCATTTTCCAAACTACTCAAAATTTCCACTATCGGTTCTTCAGAACCTGTCAGAACCTGCTGGATTTCACCCCTGGATATCATGACAGATACTTTGGAATCAGGTGTTCTAATTTCATTGGGTGCTGGAAGGGCCTTTGACATGGTTCAGGCTGAATTCATAACATGTTTTCTAGGAAGATATGGATTTCCACTATCTTTTGTGTATTGAGCTATAATTACATATTGGCACCCAGTGGCAAGATTTTTTACAAATGCATTTATCTTTCAACCTATGAAGTTACAATGTGGCACTCAGCAAGGATATCACCTATGTTTCTTAATCTTTAATATGGTTTTTGAACCGTTGGCTTTTCTTATTTGTCTCCAGAAAATAAAAGTGTAGTGGCATTTGATACTGAATATCAAGCTGTTCTTGATAATCATGCAATGTTGTCAACAAAACTTATAGCATTATGGTTTATATTCTGGTATGACTGGAACACATTTAGTTTGTTGCTTTTGGAATTTACTATAATATTTATATATAATATCTACTGACTCTATAAAATACATATGTTTACACTTAGCCCTCGACATACAACACAATTGGAGTTGGAATTTGTAATGGTTATAACTTCAAAAACAGGTCATAAATCACTTTTCCAGAGGCAGTCATAACATTGACAGTCATTAAACAAATGGTCATAAGTTGACAGCTACCTCTATATCTTTCTCAAAGTATATCAAATATGTTATTTTATTTTCTTCCATTGAATCATGTCCAATTCTTGGAGATTGTCTAGGTAAATCCCTGCAGTTTTCTTGCTAAGGTTTTTCAGAAATGATTTGCCATTGCCTCAAATATATCCAAATGTATAGATACAACTTTAATAGATAAGTTAAAATTCCCATTAAGTCTTTGTGGGGCAAGATTAATGTTATAAAAATGGATATTAGATAGATTAATGTATATTCTAGAGCAGGGGTGTCAAACTCACAACAGTGTCACGTGACGTATCAGGACTTCTTTCCCCTTCGTTAAACCGGGCATGGGCGTGACCAGCACGTGATGCATCCAGCTCATGGGCCAGGAGATGGCCAGCCCTGTTCTAGGGGGATTCCAATATTAATTCATATTAGATATTTTACACAGATAAATAAGTTGATGAGAAAATATTTATGGGAAGCTAAAGCCCCTTGAACAGCCTTAACTAAATTGAGGTTACTTTATGATGATAGCAACTTTAACATACTAGATTTTCAACTACATCACTGGGGTTTTATTTTAATTTCTGCATGTGTTGGAAGAAGAGTTTTTATGATTATTCTTCTCTCTGGGCCTATTTGGATAGCAAGCATGTAACACTTCTTGGCAGGGGCCAGGTATACTTAATAGGGATTTTGACTTTCAGCCTTGAAAAATGCCAGGCACATTTTTTAAAAACTTAATGCATAAAAGATTATGTTATGATCCAAAAATTGCATGAGGCTTTGGCACTGTGTAATTAACCCACATGTGAAAATAGCGAGGAGGATGTTTTACTGGGATTCTTGGCCTAAACAAGGGGTCAACACTTTAAATCAGTTGATTACTAATGTCTGTTTTAAGGAATTTGAGAGATTGCATATTAAATATGATTTATCTATATTATTTGCTTAGCAATTGAAATGTGCATTAAATAGCATGATCCGAATATTCTAGCACCCACTGAGGTGCCTGCAATTTTAGGATCCCTGAGAGATATAGACTTAACTGGAAAGCAACAACTTTTTAACTATGTGGTCTTCTCTTCTCTAGCTATAGCCTTATTTTTGTTTCATATCACTACATACATCAATTCAGTTTTGCGAATAAATATTGCCATTTAGGATCTTAAAGACTTTTATCTCATGAAGAGCTTTGCTGTATCAGATCTAGGGGCCAGCAAAGAAGATAATTTTATATAACTTGAAAGAAGCTTACCATTCAGATTTTAAAGAATGGATCCTGGGTATGAGTTTATTGTTTTTTGTTTTTTGTTTAAATCTGCATGTATTAAATATAAGAAGTTGATGCAATATGTTTCTCTATGGTCTGGATTTAACACTAGGCTTAAGTACTGTAGTTTTTATGTGGGCTTTTTCTGTTAATAAAGGGTTTTCTGGTCATATTTAGTTTAGTTTAGTTTAGTATTTCCCTTTTGCACTATATTCTCAGTATCTTTCATTCTTGTTGCATTTGTTTGTATTCTATATTTAAAAAATATTTTTTTTTAAAGGAAGCATATATATATATATATATATATATTCTTTTAATTCATAGGTTCAAATGTATAATACTTTTTTAGTCAGGGTTTTTTCCTATGTAGATCAAGTTGTTTATATGGCCATAGTGGGGTGATATCTCAAATCACCACTTTCAGGCTTTGTCAGACATCTTGTGTTGTTTGTTCTGAGACTTATGGGAGACTGGGATAGCACTATTTCTGTCTTTTTGGACTTCATATATATATGATGTGGTGATTAGATAATAACTGTGCTGGACTAGTAATAATGCATAGGAAAGGGATTCAATTATTTCGCAGTTCAAAGAAAAACCGCACAAAAACAGAGCTGACAAGTTTGCATAATATTTTACTTGCTTACTATTGCTTTCTAGCAGAAAGTCAGAGACTGTGGTTTGCAGTGACTTCCTTCTCTGCAGTAACTAACGCTTGAGAATTAGTCCACATGTGAAGTATGCACTATTTGTTGAGCATATAGTGGTAGCTGGGAAAGTGTTAAATCTTAGAATTGCAAAATAAAATTCTGGAACAGATCCACCTGAATGTTCATCTCACTTAATATTTTGTTTATCAGACCCTGGACACCTGGATAATTTTAGGTCCTGATCATAGTTACATTATCTTGTCTTTTTAGATGGTCATGAATCTTGTTGTTGTTTTTGGTTTTTGGTTTGCTGCTTTTTGCAACACGTCCCTGTAGCTGCCTCTCCAAAATCTTTAGAGGTATAAAAATGTTTGCCAGTTCTGTTTTTTTAAAAAATAAATAAATAAATAATTCAAAAGGTGCAGTTTTTCATTTTGAACTCATGACTACAACTCTAGAAATATTATTACTTATTATTATTTATTTTATTAGTTTGATTTATATGCTGCCCTTCTCCGGAGACTCAGGGCGTCTTACAATGCTTTTAAGCAATAGTTAAAAGCAATATGCTTTTAAGCATACTTTTGTATATACCTGCTTAGTAGGGCTTTCGGGCCCTCGTAAGCGGTGTTCTATTTTATACAAAGTCAGCTTACTGCCCCCACAAACCGGGTCCTCATTTTATCTACCTCGGAAGGATGGAAGGCTGAGTCAACCTTGAGCCTGGTGAGAATTGAACTCGCAGTAATTGCAGGCAGCTGGCAGCTAAATACTACTTTAACAGTAGTTTAGTCCACTATGCCACCAGGCTCTTATCTTAAATAAAATAAAACTCTTGTCTATTGGAACCACAAGTGGCCAATGCTTCTTTGTTTTCCCCATCTCACTATCTTCTAAATCAGGGGTGTCAAACTCAAGGTCTGGGGGCCAGATTCGGCTCATTGGGTGCTTAGATCTGGCCCACGGGGAAACAGGGAAACGTAAAGGACTGGCCCACAGGGCCTCTGCTAGTAAAAATGGGGCTGGGGGGGCACGCATTTTTGCTGGCAGAGGGCTATCAAAACAAACTAAAAACAAAACAAAAGGAGAAATGTTTCCACTTTTGCATTTGAGCATGCAAGAAGGGCCAGGAAAGGAGAAAGGGAAAGAGGAAAGACAAAGAAAAAGAAGGGAAGATGGGAAGAGAGCATGGAAGAAAAAAGAAGGAAAGAGGGGAAGGAAGAATAAAAGAGAATGAAGAGGGAAGGAAAAAGAAGAAAAGGGAGGGAGGGAGGGAGGGAGGGAGGAAGGAAGGAAGGAAGGAAGGAAGGAAGGAAGGAAGGAAGGAAGGAAGGAAGGGGATTATAATGAGAGTGAGTGAGGGTCTCAGGGAAGTCCTGCCTTAGCACTTGGCCACCACAGCTGCCCCTGACACGAGTTCTATGTCATGCCCACCATGGCCACACCTTGGCATGCCTCATGCTCCCTCCCTCAGCCCTCCCACGTCAAACACAACCCTGATGCCGCCCTCAATGAAACCGAGTTTGACAACCCTGTTCTAGATCCTTGTTTATACACAGAGTAAACCATCTGCAAAGGAAGATTAGTCAGCAGCTTATCTGCTCTCAGATGAAGGAAATGTATAGATTTGTCTTTAATGCCAAATGTATCTATTTGGGAATGGGTATCATTATATTGTAAAGGTTGGAAAATTACTGTGCAATTTCCAATTTCCAGTTTCCACTCCTAGTCAATCCTCACACCCAGATCAGAGCAAGCACATATGACACTCAGTTCAACTAGCAAAAAATATAACTTGGTTTATTTATTCAATTTATATGGCCACCTGTCTCAACAAATGAGTCTGGGCAGTGACTAGAATTAAAATCAAATCAAAAGCATTACAAAAGTTAAAATACAAAGTAGCTGAGAAACAGCAAACCCAAATCACTTGTACAAGCAAGAAGCGGTTCCCTACATACACTTCGGGGCCTAGGCCCAGGCACATAATCAGGCCCTTAGGACCTTATGAAAGGCTAGCAAGGCAAAATCAATGGTGACATGTTTAATCTGGTTTTTAGAAAAAGTCAAAGAAAAGAACAAGCACATTATTTTTAATGCATGTTGGATAATTTTAATGGGCTGTGGGAATATCCTTGGAAGAAAGGAGGAAGAGCCACAGCCAAAGCAATGGTCAGACAAAAGATGTCTCAGCCCACAGAAGGCATGGGGGTGGAGAAAGCATCTCAGAAAGGACCCTTCCTTTCCAGTTCTCTGGAAAGTAAAGGCAAAGAAGGGGAGAAGTGCTTTTGGGCATATAAGATTCTGTTAGTGTAACCTTATATAAAGGTAGTATCAGTACTCATGATTTTGGTGTCTTGTCTAGGCTACCTTTAGGGGCTGACACAGTGGTGAAATCCAAATTTTTTTACTACTGGTTCTGTGGGTGTGGCTTGGTGGGTGTGATGTGGCTTGGTGGGCGTGGCTTGGTGGGCATGGCAGGGGAAGGATACTGCAAAATCTCCATTCCCTCCCCACTCCCGGGGTAAGGATATTGCAAAATCCCCATTCTCACCCCACTCTGGGGCCAGGCAGAGGTGGTATTTGCCGGTTCTCTGAACTATTCAAAATTTCCACTACCGGTTCTCCGAACTGCTTAAAATTTCCGCTACCGGTTCTCTAGAACCTGTCAGAACCTGCTGGATTTCACCCCTGGGCTGACATGAATCATAGACCTTTTGAGTTAAAGAAGGGTAGATTTTCCAGGAAGCCAAGGTTATTTCCGTTTAAGTACAAGTGGATTACATAAAGGGAGAAACAAATATAAAAATATCGGCTCTTACATTTGCCTTGGAAATACAATACTTTTTAAAATTAGAAAATTAAACAGAGACAATACTTAAATATAGGAGAGGCGATTACCAGATTTGCCTTCAAATCACATTCAATGTTTAATTTACATTTAAATTTTGAATTTAAATCAGCCTTTAAGGTTAGCCATGTATTCCAGAATTTGTATCCTCACAACCCTGTCTGGCTGAAGTGCTTTTGAAAATGTTAACAAAAGCTTAAAGAGCAAAATTGACATTAATGGAGTGAGTTTGGAGACTGATGCCTGCCACATATATTCCATATAGTACAAAAGCTACATCAGACCAATAGCTGCCTATATTGTTTCTTCTAGTGAATGTCTTCTTAGCTCTATTCTTTTCATGGAATTCTTGCCAGAATAATTATCTATTATTTCAACATATTCATCTAGGTTTTGCATGATCTCTTTCAAATGCATTCTGTGAAAACCCACTATGTCCCAGAACTGTTTTTATATTGAAACCAGCTTTTGAAGATGATTTTTTGAGTAGAGAAGTGTTAGGAGATGTAACAACCCATTGTCTCCCAGCCATTTTCTCTTTCCAAATTTAAACAGCACATTTTCTTTGCTTTGTGGAGTTCTTGGTATTCTGTTGGTACTAGCCAGTTAGTAATGAAATGTCCACAAGCAACCAGCCAAGCTTAGAGAGCACCAACAATTTTACAGAAATTTTCTTCTATTAGAACCACAAGGGTCCAATACTTCCTTATTTTCCCCATCTCACTAGCTTCTAGATCCTTGTTTATACACAAAGCAAACCATCTGCAAAGGAAGATTACCGGTAGTCAACAGTTTACCTACTCTTAGATGAAAGAAATGTATAAATTTGCCTTTGTTTTTAAAAGCGCACAGAATTGAGAAGTGTTAATATTCCTTTGTAAATTATATGTAATTTGTCCCCTGAAATAGCTAGGGCTTAGCAAGCTGAAGAATTGTGATAACACTGTAGATATATAATGTGAACACTTAGAAACAACAATCCTGAGGCAGAAACACCGGGAGCCACAAAACCTGGGTGGGCATGGCCAACTCGATGTCAGTCACTTCCACCAGTCACATGACACCCAGCCACACCTACCCAGCTGGTCATTATTCATTTTATTTATTTATTTATTTATTTGTTCCTATTTCTATACCGCCCTTCTCCAAATAGGACTCAGGGCGGTGAACAGCCAAAGTAAAAAACAGTACATACAAAATTAAAAGCAGTTTAAAATAATTAAATATTTTGGCCGTAAATTAAAACAACCCAATTTAAAATCAATTTAAAATTTAACTCAAACTCATTAGGGCAGAGAACCAGTTGTTAAAAAACACTGGGAACCACAAAGCCCCTTTGACATATCTCTCTCTCCCCTCCTTCCCCCCTCCCTCTCCCCCTCTCTCTGTATCTTTCTATATCTCTGCCCTGGCCGCTTCTCCATCCCCCGCTGTCACCCTTTCCTTCTCAGGCCAGGAGAGGAGTGACTGGTAGGGGAGGGCGAGGGGCGGGGGCAGCCAGTGGTGGGATCATCCGATAGGGAACCACAGCAGAGGGCCCAAAGAGCCGCATGTGGCTCTGGAGCTGCAGGTTGCTGACCCCTGTTCTAACCAATAGGTCCAGCAGTGCACTCTTTCATAATTTCTCTAGTAATATGATGTAAAAAGATGTCACTGGAGCGATGTATTTCTAGGCATCTAGGCATCTTTCTGAGAAATACATTTTGCATAAAATGGCTTTTCTATGCTGTACCCATTGAACAGCAATTTGATATTTTTCTAGCTTGGATGCTACAATTTACTCTTTTGTAGTAGTCTGATAAAGAAAGCCTTTAAACCTACTTTTAGTGGAATCTGTTAGATTTAAACCTATAGAAAAATTGATAAAATATACTGTATACTAATTCTTGTTCAGTGAAGCTCAGACCCAAATATGATTAGGTTGCTAAGTAATATGCCTGTTTATGCAAATTATCTGGATTTGAGGTTTATTTTTTGTTTTTCACAGATGCTAAAATTGTGCGTGCTACTTTTTTATTATTTTGCAGGAAATTGAATTTTTGGATATTACAAGCATCCGAGACACTAGAGTGGGGAAATTTGCAAAGATTCCTAAAGTAAGTTTATGACATACGGTGATACATAAAAGTCTTCTCTAACCTAGTGTCTTTCAAATTTAGAATACTTTGGCTCCTAAAATTAGGTGAGCTGACTGGCAATTTAGAAATCAAGGAAAACTGTCCTTACATCTTTTGTGATAAACTCAAACCCAAAACTGTCACAAGCAGAAAAAAGGAGCAGGGTTTTGATTGTGCAGTTGTAACCTTCTTGACATTTTCCATATCTCCCCAGGATGCCCCTGCTCACTGCTGTTTTATCAGCAAGTTATAAAAAGTGGTACATTTCCCCCCATCCTTTGTAACAATGTGTATAGTATGAAAGGCCATGTGCAATTTGAGATGATACGGAAAAATAACTTCCAGTCTGAAAATCTTAGCAATCTTGGAAATGGATTTAAGTGTCTGCAGCTGTGCTAGAAAAAGTAGGTTTTTCCATCTGCATCTTTCCCTTTCCATTATGTTCTCCCCAACTCTAAAAATGCTACACAGAAGGTCCTATAATACGGAGAGATTTCTCCAAATTTGGCCATGACACCTTCTCTGTTTGGAGCTCTGTTCAGAGAAGGTTTCTCAGAGCTCTGAAAATAATTCTGCTAGCAGTCTGGCACAGCTGAATGCTAACCAATTTTAAGAGAAAAGATTGAGATGACTGTGCCTCCTTTATGTGCCATGAAGAAACACAATATTGCTGAAGAAAGGGAAGGAGAGAAAAAGTATTGATTTTTAGAAGTAAGAGTCAAGCTTCTACTGTGAATATTGGACATTAATACAATTGAGCGCTTCCAGAAATATTTCACAAGAAGATTCCTCCACTCCTCTGCTCGTAACAAAATACCCTATGCCACCAGACTTGAAATTCTGTGTTTAGAAAATTTAGAACTACGCCGCCTTCGGTATGACCTAAGCATAGCTCATAAAATCATCTGCTACATTGTCCTACCTGTCAATGACTACTTCAGCTTCAACCACAACAATACACGAGCACACAATAGATACAAACTTAAAGTGAACCACTCCAAACTTGATTGCAGAAAATATGACTTCAGCAACAGAGTTGTTAATGCCTGGAATGCACTACCAGATTCTATGGTCTCATCCCAAACTTTAACCTAAAACTTTAACCTAAAACTGTCTATTGTTGATCTCACCCATTCCTAAGAGGTCTGTAAGGGGCGTGCAAAGAGCACCAGCATGCCTACCGTCCCTGTCCTAATGTTCCCTTTAATTGTATTCATTTTATGTACTCAATTCATGCTTATACTTATATATATTATCTAATATGTATTTGATAAAATAAATAAATAAATAAATAAATAAATATAAATAAATAAACTATCATGGAGAGAGAAAACTTCTGGGCATAAAATTGGTGGGTACACTCTGTGTGTGTGTGCGTGTGTGTGTGTGTGTGATATAGGCAACAGAAGTGCACTATTGCTAGGAGGCTGAGGTTTGCACACACTTAAAAGGAGTTCAGAAAAGAAAAAAGATCAGTTTGAATGGCAACAGCCAAAGTCTCCCATGGTCAAAAGTGATACAGGGCATTCTTGACAACACTTGAAAGTGCAGCATCAGCAAGATCACAGCTTTACAATATTTCTTTCTTAGGGCCAAACAAGGACCAGTTTATGTAAGCATTTTGTAATACAGTGGTATGTGACTCACTTGCATGGCATTTCTTGTATTTCTTTAACTATCCTCCTCCTGATGCAACAGCATTAAAATGGAAGTGTTCAAATAGTTCCTCCTTTTCCCAGAGTAACAATTGATGCGTTTAATTTTAAGGCCAGTAGTAGTAATGCTCCTTTATATTAAGCAGCAAACTGCATTTTGAAAAATAGCCATTAGATAGACAAGATTCTAGTATAGATACTGTCTTTGCTAAAACATCTGCTTAGAGGTTGTCCTGTATTTCTAGACTAGGAAAGATGTTAAGGATTCTGGCCTTATCAGGGCCAAGCCTGTGGAACAAGATGAAGAGAAACAAAATGCTTTCAAAATGTCGTGCTGACTGAATGCAAATTAAAGAAGCAGAATATTGAAAACAGTTTTTCTTCAATAGCCCCGTGTTGGTTATCACATTTAAAGGCCATTTTAGGAATTTGATAAGATGTGCAATAATATACACCTGAGAACCAAAACCAGCTTGCTAAACTCATCTATAACTAAGAAAGAAAAAGAGGGGGAAATATTGAGTAAAGACTATTATTTTCATTAAAATATAATTTTGTGTTCAAAAAGCCCATTTTGAATTTTAAAGCAAGATTTTCTCAAGTCTCCTCACTTCTGCTTTCAGTTTTTCTTCTTAATGTGCTTTTATTTATTAATTTCTATATCTATCCTTTGCAGAATCACAAGCTCCAAGAAGTTTTCAAGTTGGATTTTCCAAAGAGCAACTTTTTTCACAAGATATTGACTGTGGTTTCTGGTCCTGATATGGTGGACCTCACATTTCACAATTTTGTTTCTTATAAAGAAAATGTTGGAAAGGTATTAGAAAATAAAATAACATTATTGCATTAATGCAAGCAAAACCTAACCATAATATCCACACAGTGCCATATGTGAGAGAATAGTTGTCATTCTGTTTAAAGTGCTGGCATTAGAGATGGCAGACACTGGTTTTGAACCAGCTTGGACATTAAGTTTACAGAGTCTTTTTATACATGTGTGTCTTTCCTCCCTAACATATTTCACGGAATATATCCATGGACAAAAATGGAATAATATGTGACTGTATTAAAAGCTAAATAAACATAATATCAGTGTGATATTGTGGTTATGCTAGGCCTGATTACTTTCATATTCAAACCCCCACTCAGTTATGAGTTCCCTTCATGGCCTTGAAATACTCATAATGTCTTAGCCCAAACCCACCTCACAGAACTGTGATGTAAACAAAAGATGGCAGGAAGAATCAAGTATATTGGACTAAACTGTCTTCAAGAAAACTTGGAATTTATATTTATTGACCTTCTATTTCATTTTGTTGTATGAAATGCAATGACAATAAACTAAACAAAGCTAAACTAAACTAAACTAAGCTAAATTAAGCTAAGCTAAGCTAAACTAAACTAAACTAAACTAAACTAAACTAAACTAATTTATTTTGACAATTGCCTAAGTATGAGTATCAACGTCATCATCCATTTTAGATAGAAGGAGAAAGATGTCAATTGCTTCCACTTAGTTTAAATTCATAAAAAGTAAATGTCAATGATTCCAAAAAGTGGCATAGATTAGAATCTTGTCTTTAGAAAAGATAGCCATAATAGAAAACGAGCATTTATTCCATGTGGAAATACTGCCTGGCAGAGCCACTCATGTGCTTAAATGTAGATGTTCACTTTGCAAGTTTTGGATTTTCAGCTTATACCCTTGGCTTCATTTTTCAGAAATGGGCAGATGATATCATGGACTTCATTAGGAACCCCTTTATATACAATGCTTCCCGTTACACTTTTCTGGAGAAAATGTGAGTAGTTATTGACAAAGGTTGTATTTCCAAGTATTTCTTGACAGTTCTAGTAATATAGTATGGTGACTGAATGATGTTGAAAGCTGGTCATTTAAAAACATTGGAGTGTAATGTTGTTTTAGGAGGTCCATACATATACGAATAGAGGAAACATTAGGACAGGGATGGAAGGCACGCTGGTGCTCTTATACATGCCCCTTATAGACCTCTTAGAAATGGGGTGAGGTCAACGGTAGACAGTCTTAGATTAAAATTTGGGGGGTTTTGGGATGAAACCACAAAGTCAGGTAATGCATTCCAGGCATTGACCACTCTGTTCCTGAAGTTATATTTTCTGCAATCAAGTATAATCGATTATAATAATTATAATATATAATTATAATATAATATATAATAATTATATAATAAATAAATATATAATAATATAATATAATAATTATAATATATAATTATAATAATTATAATCGAGTATAATCGAGTAAACATATGTTATCCATACTCTTCCCCTCCCCTCAAAAAACAAATAACAGTCAAATATGGGTAAGACATTCTCTTCACGTGGTAGCTGATAAAAATCCAGTCCTAGTAGTATCAACTCATCGAAATTCATCTTATTGACCATTTGGGACCATAGGAGAAAGAAACAAGGGACTTCCTCTTTATTTCTTTGCTGGTCCCCGCTCTTCTTTCCTAAAGTATTCCCTTCCTTCTCTTTGTATTCCTTCTGTGAAAACCTAGAGATCCAGGCTTGATACTACAACAGATAACTTTAATTGCCTTTTGGGATCTTAAAGCTTCTATTTTGGATACTTTTAACAGTCTTGATTCTAGTCACACAAGTTCCAGGCTCCAGTTCCTGAGGGAATCAAACCAGGGCTACCTCAGTTGTTTTTCCCTACAATGGCTACCTTTCTTCATTCTTTTTTGTCCCACAACTTTGTAAATATCATCCTAATACTAATAAAAATGTATCTGTTCTGCCCTTTCCTGCAGTCTGGTGAAACTAAAGCTGCAGCTGAATGCTGAGGGGAAAATTCCTGTCAAGAAGTGAGTATGGTGTTCATAATGCTTTGGTTAATGATGGACTCATCATTCTAAGAGGGCCCTGGGTCATAGCAATAGCATAGGCTCCCATTGGGATTTGGGCAAAGATGTGACCAGCTAACCTCTATTCGAGGCGTATAAGTTATTCAGTGTTTTTCAGATGGAATGGCACAATCCCACAAAATACAATGGAATGTAGATGTCTGTTGCACAAGGGAAGTATTCCATCTTAACAATTTGATTACACACATATATACACTGTCATTGACAACAAAGCACCACCGATGTATCATATTTGTGACAGATGTTTAAATGCATTACTTCCTTGGCAACCTTATGCAAAGAGTAGGCCTTATCTTGTAGCTTTGCTTTAGGAAGAATGAGCGATTATGCGTGCGCTCATGCTCTTTCTATTTTCATTGAAAAGGCTGATTCATCAACAAACCTTCTTCTTCTGGCCTATGGTTTACAGATTAAAGAAGGTCAGAGCTGCAATATGGCATAGTTCATAAGGGAAATTCCTTCTTCCTGGGAATAGAATTGTGAAATGTTTAATCAGAAATCAATTTTTGATCTGGTTAGCCTCAAGAGCTTCCTTATGTTTTCTATTCAATGCTTTTATTGTGATGTATTGAATCATGGTGGCATCTTATAAGTACATAGGCCATCTGCTGCCTCATATGTTGGTTCAGTGGTCCCTAGAATTATCCAGAAATCGTGCCTGCAACATTTGAGAGAAAGTTGCTGAAATACAAAAGTTTTGATTTCTTGATATCTTTGTAAAAAAAAATGTGTTGGACATTTCAGAAATCCATCCTCTCAAATAAAAACTCCGTTCAGCTTCAGAAACACAGAAGTTTCAGCTCTATTCACTTTGGGAATGTGACTTTTCTGCCTAATACAAACCTTAGACACTGAAGGTTTGGAGTTTTGAATTCTACTCTGACATAATATTCTCCTTCAGTAGAGTTTGTTTATTTTAGTATTATAATGGTTATTCTTTATGGGCAGTCTTCCAGTGGTGGGTTGCTCCTGGTTCGCACTGGTTCACAGGAACCGGTAGTAAAAATTTGTAGTAGTTTGGAGAATCGGTAATAACATTGGCTGGCCACGCCCCCGAACCGATCCCCAGCCCAGTCGCAGCTCACTTACCCCGCCAACCTCATCAGAGGCTTTTTTAAATAACTTTTAAAAGCATTTTTTCTGCAATCTCTTCGGCCGAAGAGGTTGCAGAAAAAAATGCTTTTAGGAGCCTCTGACGATCAGGCAACTCAGCTGGGATCGCCAGAGGCTTTTAAAGGCATGTTTTTTCCTACAACCTGAAGTGGTTGTAGGGAAAAAAATGCCTTTAAAAGCCTCTGGCAATCCCAGCTGAGTTGCCTGATCGTCAGAGGCTTTTAAAAGCATTTTTTCTGCAACCTCTTAAGGTTGTAGAAAAAATGCTTTTAAAAGTTAAAAAAAAAAGTTGGCCACACCCATCCACCAAGCCACGCCCACAAAATAAGCTACGCCCACAGAACCAGTAGTAAAAAATTTTTAGAACCCACCCCTGCAGTCTTCCCATTAGAACATTGCAGTCTTCTACTAGTGGCCCTGTCTCTCTTTCATTTCATCCCTTTCTTTTTCAGTATTTTTCAAATGTTTCCCGCGGACAGAAAAAGGGTAGAGGCAGCATTAAGTGCCTGTCATCTTCCACAGGGGAAGGTCAGTAATTTTTTTTTTTTTACGTGTATATACCCCAGAACTCATAAATGGAATTAGAATTTAATTCTGAACAAGGTATGTAAATTATGTAATAAATACTGATTTCCATAGACTGTTCATCAAAACTCTTGAGCAAATGGTTTTGATCCTTCAGCCCAAAACTTTGCTATGCTGAACAGCCATATCTGAAAAAGGGATTCTATGCAGCTTCGTCTGACAGGTCAGGAAATAAATGGGTAGAAACAGTCTGTATGAGATCACTGGGACTACTGAATTCAATGAATATACCCTTGTGCTCCTATAAGAATGTGCATATTTTATTTAGGCTTAATACTTGAATAAAGTGATTGCTGGTAAATGTATTCATATTGGTTGGTATCAAGAGTAAGGCATTTGATACAATCCCGTGCCTTGAAAATAAAGAGAGGAAGACTGTTGAACATTTAAACAAATAGTGAATTGGAATCTATTGCCAGTCTACCAATATCCTAGAGAAATAACTGAACGGGCAGTCCTTGTTTAGGAACTGCCTTGGACAGCAACAATTCACAGCTAATGGCAGTGATAAAAAAAACTAACTTTGCAACCAATGCCCACATTTACAATCTTTGCAGCATCATGTGTTTCCCATTACAGTTAGTTTGTCAACTTCGAACCGAACCTGGTAGCAGCCATTTTCCTATTCCTCAGTTGCCACACAGAGGGGGAAGTGGGGAAGGAGGTTGGAATGCATAACTAGACGCAACAGAGAGCTTTCTTGTGAGAACCCAGGTCATCTCTACTGGCAACAGATAAGGTAGGAAGGAAGGAGTGCCTGGAGAGCACTTGACCTAATTGGCCAACATGACCTGTGACACTTGGGAATGGGGTTATTTCCTATTGTTAATTATGCTGAAACCGCAGGAAAGATTTAGAGTTGGTTTTCCTTTAGAACTGTGCCGATATGTACTCAATAAAGAAGATATTTGAGGAGGATTCTAGTCTCAGAGTTCTGATTTGCTTGGGTTCGTTAGTTGGAACTTTGACATAGTTAGTACATATTGCCCTGTGTAAAATTGTAAGCACAGTTATAGTCATAAGATTTTTCACTTTGTAATCCTTTTGGTTTTATACTACTCTTCCCCAATCTAGTTGTGTTGGACTGCATCATCACAAATTCTTGAATTGTGGCTAATAATTTTGGGAATCCCCAAATTTAGTACATATATAGTATTCAATGCCCTTACATGCAGCCACCAACTTTACCCTCTAAACCCTTAGATGCATGTTTGCATGTTTGCACTATTCCACAAGTGTTGTCACTACTGCCATTCTTGCAATGCTCAGTACTTCTCCTAAGTTCAGGTGTGGAAAGAGGAGGGTGAGCCAAGCAACCAGGATAAACTGCAAATTCTCACTGATGGAAAAGAATTTGCTTCCCATTTGCAGAATTTCCTGCTGTGCCAGAATTAAATTGTAAACTAATCATCTCAGTTAGAGAAGGATTGCAACAACATATTGAGGTAAAGGAACCACAACAACATGGCACTTTTACAAACACTACAGGTGGAAGGGCCCATAAATCTACTCTTGCTACATCATCTATTCTGTGAAAGAAATTACATTCTTAACGGAAAACTGAAATGCTTGCTAAATGTATTTTTCTATTTCACATGCAGCTTTTCTTTGTTCTATGTCATACAACGATCTCTTTGTCGTATTTAGGCCCAGGAGAAAGAATTCATGTTACAATTCAGAATACATTGTTAAATCTTATCTTGAGCTGCTCTTTCATTTTCAGAATGATGGTATCAACCCAGAAGACTTTCCTGAAACAGTGTATAAAACATTCCTGATGAACCTGTGTCCTCGGCCAGATATTGATGAAATATTTACCTCACAGTAAGCTTTCGTAGTGTAAGAGATACTATGTAGGTAAAGGGAGTCTGGGTGAATCCAATGAAATCTAGTACAGTTCTCATCCTTCAGCATTTCTTGTGCTTTGTGTTTGGTTGGATTCATATGAGTCTTTTGGGATTCTGTATTTGTATTCTGTGTCATCCAGAATTGCAGGATAACTCTGCCCACTGCCTGGAGTTTGATCCTAATAGGTCTCAAGGTTATCTCAGCCTTCCATCCTTCCGAAATTGGGACTCAGATTGTTGGGGGCAATATTCTGACATTGTAACCACCCAGAGAGTGCTGTAAAACACTGTGGGCCAGTATATAAGTCTATGTACTGTTACTACTGCTAATATAACTTATTATATACCATTTTCTCTACAAAGAAAATTCTTTATGGGTGTTAGTTGTTCATTTGTTCAGTATGCAGATGTTTGGGAAAGTTTTAGGGTGATAAAGGAAGCACTTTAGATTGAGCTTTATTTTTGCACCAGTTGTTTCATGTCTTATAGTGCTGAATCTGCAGTGCAGAAAAAGATAAGCTGGAACAAGCTTGTTCAATACTTTAAAAAAATTGAAAGTTGCCTTGCTTCTAAGTGGGGCTTTCCAGGGACCTCTAAAGACACTCTTCTTCATTGTTTCTCCTTAGCCATTCAAAAGCCAAGCCATACATGACGAAAGATCACCTGACAAAATTTATCAACAAGAAACAGCGAAATTCCCACCTCAATGACACGCTTTTCCCTCCTGCCAAACCAGATAGAGTACAGGGTCTCATAGAAAAATATGAGCCCAGTGGGATGAATATTCAAAGAGGTGAGTCTTTTCTATTAGAATGAGATTTTGTCATGATCCCACGCATGATCCCAAGCCTATAGAGACAATAGAGTGCTATACACTGTCCAGTTCTTATGTGGATGTGAACAGGATAGGAAGCATAAAGCAGTAGTGAATGTGTTCATGTGTGCTTGTTTGATCTATACACATATACGTACTGTACACACACAGATATTTGGCAGTCTGGTAATATATTGCTGAATCGCCTCCCTAATATCAATAGAACAGTAAGACCTATAAAAGAACAAGACAGTGTTGAGAGTCTTGTGAATACCTCAGGGTTTCTGAGAGTTTTGTGAATACTTCAGGGTATGCCATCAAAAACCAGTTGGCCTTTTCTTGATTAACAGTCCTTTTCTCCCAGAAAAAAAATATATTGTAGTCCTAACATTGTGGAATGTTTCCTTATAGCCTTTTTCTCTTTGTCAGCCAACAAAAATCGGGTGAAGTTGGCTAAACAAAGAATCTCCAGAAGATTAAATGGAATTAGGAATAAAAGTTATGAAATAATCATAACTCACAACAATCATACCTCTATTGCCTTTGATTTTAAGTCAGAATAAAATGCTGAGGGGTTGGGGGGGGTGCGGTTGGAACATCCAACTCAGAGACAGGCGCCTAATTTCCTCCAGAAGGTTTATTCTCTAACTCCCACAATTCCTTGTCATTGGCCATCTTGGCTGAGGCTAATGGGAATAGAAATCCAGAACATTTGGAGGGCAGCAAAATACCTATTCCTGATTCAAAGTCATCTTCTTCAAGGCCTTGAATTCCACTCCCAGTCACAATACAATTGTTTGCTCCTGCAGGGCAGCTGTCTCCTGAGGGAATGGTTTGGTTCCTGTGTGGTCCTGAAAACAGCATCGTATCTCAGAACAAACTGTTGCTATACCAAGATATGAACCAACCACTCTCCCACTACTTCATCAACTCATCCCACAATACTTACCTAACAGGTATGGTGATACCTACCAAGATGCACTCATTTGTCCCAGTTAGGATCATTTTCTCCAAGTTGTCAACTTTTATACCGGTATGTGTTTAATATTACAATTCCCCACATTTCCTGGTTCTGCCAGTTCAAAAAAGATTAGGTAACAGGTGCTATGAAAGATAATCATCCAAGATCTAGCCATTGATGATCAAAGAAAATAGGCAAAATGGATCACAATCATACCATAGGGCAGATGCCTATAAGCCTATTGGGTGCTTATAACTTACACATCACCTAATGTATTTGCCTGCTGAACAATCATTTTCATTGTCTTCTATATTAATCATAACACAGAGAGCAACTTTACATCCACACACTCACTCATACTCACATTTACATACTGGTATCCACTTTCCAATTGTTGGTTATTGTTTTATGATTTTATTAATATTTTATGTGCACACCTTTTTTTTTAACAGCTGGACAGTTTTCTGGAATCTCATCTCCTGAAATGTATCGCCAAACTCTCTTGGCTGGTTGTCGTTGCGTGGAACTTGATTGCTGGAAGGGACGTCCTCCAGATGAGGAACCAATCATCACCCACGGGTACACTATGACAACTGAAATACTGTTCAAGGTACACATTTGCTGGTGGTTTTTTCCTATTTGTTTTCTTTGAGCCCATATAGTTCCATCTGACAAACTGCTACCTGAAGTGGTTTGGGAATAACGAGAGGCACAAGCAAGCAAGTGACAACAGCTCTTTAATATATGGTGAGACTTCAGCAAAAACTCAGGGGCTGCAGCCCTCCTTATATACAACTCCGGAGAGGCTGTCAACCAATCAGAACTTAGACAGGTTTGAAACTCCCGCTGAAAAGTATCAATATATAACACCCCTCCCTTCCCAGAAGGCACTAACATTCAAAAAATTTACATAAGTACACACAAAATCTCGCAGGTGCCCTGGCCGAGTTCTCGTTCTAGTTGACCTGCGCAGTTCAGTGTTTGGTGGGGCATCGAGCTGGTTGGAGGGACTTTCTGTCTCTCCCGGCTCTGCCAATGGAACCTCCTGGATTTTGTCCGGGGCGTGGTTATCCCCGGCTGGGAGTGGCGACTCTCTGGGGCAGCGCTGGAACCAGGGCTTGTCAGCTAAGTATTCACTCGAACCCGGGCTTGAGTTAGCTGTTTTGGGAAAGTTGTTGTAGTTAGGTTCGGAGATGTCTAAAGTGATGTTTGCCTCACTGACTATTCTTTTCCTAAGTTGGTCTATGTGGCGTTTCCAGAGTCTGTCCACCCCTACGTCTACCGTGTATGATTTTGGGCCCGTTATGCCCTCTATGGTTCCTGCAACCCATAGAGGTCCGCTAGCATAATTGCGAGCGAACACCGGGGACCCAACCTGGAACTGCCTTAGTCCGGTGGTCTCTCCCTTAAAATTCTCATGAGTATAATTGGGGTGAAGCCTGTCTAACATGCACCGAAGCTTCCTGCCCATGAGGAGTTCGGCGGGGCTTCTCCCTGTGGCCGTGCATGGTGTGGCATGCTGGACAGCTAGAAATTGGTCTATCCTGGCCTGCCAGTCCCTGTTATCTAGCCTGGACAATGCTTCTTTGGCCGTTCTTACGAAACGTTCAGCCAAGCCATTAGAAGCCGGATGGAACGGGGCCGATAGGGCATGGCGGATGCCTAGTCTGGCCAGGTAGCCCTCAAACAGGGTCGCTGTGAATTGAGGGCCGTTGTCAGATACCAGAGTATCCGGTAGGCCATGGGTGGCAAATAGTTTGCGAAGGACTTTGATGACTGCTTCGGCTGTGGTTGAGGGCATGAGTATTATTTTGAGCCATTTTGAAAAGGCATCGACTATGATTAAAAATGTTTGCCCATGGAAGGGGCCGGCAAAGTCAATATGGATCCTCCCCCATGGCCCTTTTGGTTTCTCCCACTCTCGGATGGGTGCTATCGGGGGATCGGGGCGAGACTCCTGACAGGGTCTGCACTTCCCCACCCACTCGAATATGACTTGGTCCATGTTGGGCCTAACTGTGGGCTAAACTTTTCATTCGGACAATCCCTGGGTGTCCCTCGTGCAGTAACTCCAAAACCCTCGTTCTCAGTTTCGTTGGTATGACCACCCTATCACCCCACAACAAGCAACCTCCTTGCATAAATAATTCATTACGTTTGTTAATATAACCCTGGTACTCCCCACCGACCGCCTTGACCGGCCACCCCTTAAGGACCCAACCCATTACAGTACGAATTACAGGGTCCCTAGCAGAGGCTTTCGCCACCTCGCAAGAGGAGATAGGTCCCAAAGTCATAGCGTCGATCAGCAGAACGGGGATCTCCGGCGTGGGGTTGACCAGCAAATCGGGGAGGGGGCAGTGGCTGAGGGCATCCGCGTGGCCCAAGGTCCGTCCGGGTCGATGGACAAGCTGGTATGAATAGGCCGATAGAAAAATGGCCCACCTGGTCAACCGTGGGGACAGGGCAGCGGGGGTGGGCTTGTCACCGGCCAAAAGTCCCAGCAAGGGCCGGTGGTCAGTCACAAGTTCGAATTGACGGCCATAGAGGTATTCATGGAACTTTTTGACCCCCGCAATTGCAGCCAGAGCCTCTCTGTCCAACTGACTATAGTTCCGCTCTGCGCTTGACAGGGTGCGAGAGTAAAACGCAATGGGCGCCTCTAGGCCATTTGGTAGTCTATGGCCTAGGACAGCACCAACTCCTACGGGGGAGGCATCACAAACCAATACAAGCGGAAGCGCTGCGTTGTATTGGATTAGGAAACTGTCTTCGGATAGAAGTCTCTTTACCGCCTCAAAAGCGGCTGCCTGTGCTTTTCCCCAAACCCAAGGTACATTTTTTCCTAAGAGTTTGTGTAGGGGATCTGCGACTGTAGAATAGAATAGAATAGAACATTGAATAGAAATTGAGCAGTCCAAGGAAGGCTTGGAGCTCCGCTTTGGTTTTGGGGGCTGGTGCGTTTTTGATAGCTCTCACTTTGCTTTCGGTGGGGTGGATGCCTGTGCCATCCACCCTGTACCCCAAAAACTCGATGGAGGGGACAGCGATCATGCACTTATTTTTCTTCAATTTAAGTCCTGCTTCCCTAAATCTGGAAAGGACGTTCCTCACTCTGTCCCCTAGTTGACGTTCATCCTGAGCGCTGATTAGAACGTCATCAAAATAGGGCACCACCCCTGGGAGCCCTTGCAAGAGGCGCTCCATGGTGCTTTGAAATAGGCCGGGTGCGACGCTCACCCCAAACTGGAGCCTGGTGCATTTGAATGCACCCCTATGAGTTACAATTGTCTGTGCCGCTGCCGTGGCGTCGTCGACTGGCAATTGTTGGTAGGCCTGAGCTAAGTCTAATTTGGCAAAAATTTTGCCGGGTCCCAGGGAGTGTAGTAGATGATGCACGATCGGCACCGGATAGGCGCTCGGCTGCAAAGCCTTGTTGATCGTGCACTTGTAGTCTGCGCAAATCCTGATTGAGCCATCAGATTTAACTGGGGTCACTATGGGGGTCTCCAATTTTGCATGGTCAACGGGGACCAACACCCCTTGTTTAATTAATTTGTCCAGTTCCGCATCGATCTTTGGTTTCAATGCAAAAGGCACCCGTCTGGCTTTAAGTCTTATTTGGGCTACGTTAGGGTCTAAGTTAAGGGAGATAGGGGTCCCCACATATTTGCCCAACGTGTCCCTGAAGACGTCTTGGAACTCGTTCAGGAGGCTGTCCTTCAGTGACGGCTCGGACATTCGGTGGATGCCGGTGAAACCCATGCCAAGGGCTCAGAACCACCCCATGCCCAGAAGGCTTGGCAACTGCTTGGTAACAATGGTTAGCGGCAGGTCTTTTTCGAAGTCTCCGTAGGTGACTTGGAACGTGCCTACTCCTTCAAGGGGGACCCGGTTCCCCTGGTAGTCTAGGATGCGCAGTCTCTGTTTGGATAGCTGGTCCTTCCGGAATGACGGCAGGATGGTCTTCAGGGTCGCCCACGACATTATGGAGAGAGCGGATCCGGTGTCGATCTCCATCGAGCATGGCTTGCCATTGATTTCGACCACCGTGCTGACTTTGTCTTCGATCGCCATGCTGGCCTGGTCGATGTGTATGCTGCGGCCATCTCGTGGTTCAAATTCATGCCGTTTCTTCGCACCGCCTTCTCTCATTGGATGCTTCTGGCACATTGGTCCTGGTTGGCTGCGGCGCTCATGTGGTTGGTGTTTTCTGGGCAGAATGGCTCTACAGACTTGCGCCAAGTGCCCTTTTTTCTCGCAACGCCTGCAAATAGCCTCTCTGTATTTGCAGGACAGTCTATCATGATGCCCGCCACAGCTGGGGCAATTGCGCCGGGGGCTGCCTGCGTTTTTTCTGTGGTGCTCTGTTCGGAAAACGTCCTCATCAGACTCGGACTCCGAGCTGGATCCAGCGTCTTCCCTGTGCACTGGTGTGGACTTGGGACTGTCTTTGCTAGTCAGCGGACGCTGCAGCGTTTCTGCGGCTTTAGTGGAGGCTTCGTGGGCCCTGGCCTCGTCTAGGGCTCCAGCAAGCGTTAAATCAGGCTTAGCGAGTAATCGCCTTTGCAGTCTTATATCTCGAACGGCACAGATTAGCTGCTCAAGCAGCGCATCGTCCAAGTCTCTATAGTCGCAATGTGTTGCGGCTTTATGCAGGCTCGCCATGTAAGCGCTGACCGGCTCTACCTCTCTTTGCACCCGTTGTCGTAGTTGGTATCGTTGCACGAACTTGGAGGGAATGGGAGCGTAGTGAGCCCGGAGGGTTGCCATCAGGGTGTCCCAGGAAACGGTCTGGACCGGCGTTGGCTCACAAAGTGACTCCGCCATCTCGAACACATCTGGTCCGCAGTGGCTTAGAAAGAGGGCTCTCTTTCGGTTAGCGGAGAGTCCCTGCATGTCGCTGGCTTCGAGCGAGCACTCAAACCTCGTTAGGTACGAGACCCATTTTTCATGGGCCGGATAAAAAGGCTTGGGCGGAACGTAGGCAGACATGTTCGGTATGTCTCCTGTAGTTCGCCTCGTCGCCTAGCTGAAGCTCGTGATCTCACTGGTTCGCTTCTTGTGGCCTCAATCCCACCTTTGTCGCCAATGAAGTGGTTTGGGAATAACGAGAGGCACAAGCAAGCAAGTGACAACAGCTCTTTAATATATGGTGAGACTTCAGCAAAAACTCAGGGGCTGCAGCCCTCCTTATATACAACTCTGGAGAGGCTGTCAACCAATCAGAACTTAGACAGGTTTGAAACTCCCGCTGAAAAGTATCAATACATAACACTACCCCATCCCAAATTAAAGATAGAAAATCCTTATACCAGGATAATTTAACAATCCACAGCCACTCTGTCTTGCCAGAATTGAATATAACTATTCATCCCCATCCAGATCTTCACATCCTCCAGGCACTGGGACATGATCTTGATAGCATTACTTAACTCAGGATCAAGATGTACAACTGGTATTATCAGCCTACTGATGTTACTACATCCCACATTGGAGGATGAACTCTTCCAGTGGTTTCATGTAGCTATTAAAGAGGAAAGATAGGAGTTTCAAACCCTGAGGCATCCCACAGGTAAGGGGCTAAAGGATTAGCCTCTCCTCATTCCCACTTATATCGATTGGAACCAACTTCAGAGAAAGGAGGAAAACAGCCTTAACACTATGTCTCTGTAGTATTTTCCAGCCTGAAACACAACTAGAAAGGGTCCAGATATCCTACTTCAGGGCTTTCTGAAGCTCCAGTCCAGCCACTTCCTCAACAACTCCCCACCACCACCAAAGGAAGGGAACTAAATTTCCATTTAGTTATATTGATCTTAAAAATCTAGAATGCAGAAATTGTACCCAGAATTGGGGAGGAGATATAAAATGTTCTTCTGATTTACTACAAAATCAGGTACTCCCTATTCTAAATATAGATTTAGTTCATTCACCTTATGTTGGTTTTTAATTATAATCATTTATTAGTTCATTTTTTGGCCTAAATGAGTTTGATCTTAAAGACCTTAAAGATTTCCGTTACTTTCTGTGTTCTGCACAGCAATACTTTGACATTACTGTAATCAAGTCACGTAAGACATAGCAATTCAAATATAGATGCTTAAGATCTATATATTGCATCAGTGATGCATGCATAATAAATGATAGACTTATATATTTAAATGATCAGAATCCTATTCTTTCTTCCAACCCTTTCAAGTATTTAAACATTTTCTTTTGTCCCAAACATTCAGAAAGGAAGTTGCTCAGTAGGTTCCAACCTTCAGCTGTAGTTTAAGCAGCAGGGAAAAGAATAAATGGACTCTTTAAACGATTGCCCTGGTAGTAGTTTTTGGTATTAACAATTTTACATTCTCCATCTTATGACATCACAATTACCATGACACAGCGCCACGCAATCTACAGAGCAAATAAAAGCTATTGTGCTCGAGTAGGGCTATAATTATTATGGGGACTGATTGCTCTGCACCACAACAATGAAACTTGAAAAAGAATTACAGGGTGTTAACACAGCATGTACTTTTCATTATAGCTTATATAACATTTGGACATTCCCCTCTCCTCTTTCTTCCTACTTAGTTTCCCTCTCCAAAATAACTTGTGGGTGGAAAGATGTGGCTCTCTCCTGATTTGAACCTACATCAGTTTTCTTTGAAATCAGATCATGTCAAGAGGCAGGATCAGCCTCCCCTTCCCCAGTTCATGAACCACTGCTTGTTCGATTAAAAGTTGTTCTGCAAAAGACAATCTAAAGTTATAGGCCGTTCAGTACAGTTGACTCTTGGTGATTTTATGAGCTGAAGTTCACTATTTTAACCTCTTTGGCTTGGATCCCATTTTTGAGCTTGTTATGTGCTGATAAAATTCATTTGGTATTAAAGTAGCTGCAGAATGAGGCTCAGTTTACCCACAGAAGATAAATGTCCTATTTAAAATGATGTCAATCAATGGCTGGAGCAACAGGAGAGGGTAGATAATTACACAGAAAGAAGTATCATCAAGAACTATAAGTTACAATATTGGAGTAGGGAAAATAAATAAAGAGGATTCACAAATGTATTACCGTATTTTTGGGAGTATAAAACACACCCTTTCCCCCCCCTAAAAGGAGGTGAAAATTTAGGTGCGTCTTATACACCGAATGTAGCCCCGCCCACCCACTGGCCCCCACCCTTTGGCCTCTGCCTCCCAGCAGTTTACCTCCTTGCAGCAAGCAGCAAGACGAAACAGCTCATTTCAGTTTCAGCACAGCCTAATTAGCACAAGTTGATTGTCCCTTGGATCGGCCTCCCAACTCAGCTGCTTGCTGCAAGGAGGTAAATTGCTGGGAGCAGATTTTTTTTTCCTTGTGCTAATCAAGCTTGCTGAAAATGAAAATGAAAGTAAAACAGGCTATTTGCTGTTTGCTGCAACGAGGCAAAATTGCTGGGAGGCAGAGGCTGAGGCAGATTTCTTTTTCTTGTCTTCCTCAACAAAAAAGGTAGGCGCATCTTATAGTCTGGAGCATCTTATACTCTGAAAAATATAGTATTTATTTATTTATCACATTTATATAGCCGCCCATCTCACAAAAAACGACTTTGGGTGGCACACAGCAATGAGATAAAACATCCTGTAAAAAAACCCCAGATATAAATTCCAGAACTTATAATGCTGTCTCACAATCCATGACTGTCCAAAGAAAGTGAGTGGTGGAACAAGCAAAAATCTCATTCATAAACTTTATTCATTTATACAATATAAAGCAGTGGTGGGATTCAGCTGGTTCTCTCCGGATTGTGCAAACTGGTAGCAGTGACTGCGGAAGCCTTCACTTACCTGCCCTGACGTAATGCGCGACTACTGCGCGTGCACAGAATGCGCGACTACTGCATGTGCACCTCAGGGGATAAAAAATTGCTATTGCAAGCATCCTTTCTTTTGCTGCAACTTCTGAATTCTACACTATGACTAAATCTGTAGATCTATAGATTATGGTTAGAGCTGTTAGTTTTAACAATAAATTTGATCGTGGACTCAGTTATTGTAGTGTTTAATTTGGGGGGTAAGAAATAGGTCATTATAAAATGCTAGTAAATTGCCAGGGCGGTTGCATTTTAAATTAGACAGAGATGTAATCAGGCTAAAGTTAGAAGAGTTTAATTGCAATTTCAGTCTATAAAATTAGAAAAGGACCCAGACACAATTGCTCATTTTAAAATTGCTTATCTCTGTATTTTGGTATATTTATGCATTTCAAAATAATTCAAAATATTACAAAGTAATTGCCAGTGGGTTTTATCAGGCATCAGTCTATAAATGACTGTTCACATGGTATTAGAAACTCTGAGATCATTGTACATACATACATTATGTTGATAATTATCACACAAATATGCCCATCTTACTGATTTGGGTTCCAGTTATGTATGTGAAGGCTTTCCCCTAGACATGAGTAATTTGTGGTTTTCCAGATATTGCTCAACTAAAATTCTCCCCAGAACCACCCAGCACACCAATTATGAGAGATGTTCATCGGCATTTGAATCATGTAGGTTTCTTCTCCTTAAGCAAACATTACATTACATTCATGGAAAGCAGATTTTTCTCCCTCGCTCACATTTTCCCTCTTTGTCTCATACAGGATGCCATTGAGGCTATTGCGGAAAGCGCTTTTAAAACCTCTCCCTACCCAGTAATCCTGTCTTTTGAGAACCATGTGGATTTGTGAGTATTAGGATCTTATGCTGCGGTAAAGGATTGAAAGTGTGTTTTGATAAACTAGAAGTGGGGAGGAGTGTATTCAGTCAGGATAAATTAATTCTTGCTGCAATATTTACTGGCAACTTTCTAGCAAATCAAAATTAACAGTGGCCTACTCTTTAAAGTTTAAAGAAGGGACGCAGTGGCTAAGATGCTGAGCTTGTCGATTGAAAGGTCAGCAGTTCAGTGGTTCGAATCCCTAGTGAGCTCCCGTTACTTGTCCCAGCTTCTGCCAACCTAGCAGTTTGAAAGCACGTAAAAAATGCAAGTAGAAAAATAAAGACCACCTTTGGTGGGAAGGTAACAGTGCACCTCTGGCGTTTAGTGATGCTGGCCACATGACCACGGAGACGTCTTCGGACAGCACTGGCTCTTCAGCTTTGAAATGGAGATGAGCACCGCCCCCTAGAGTCGGGAACGACTAACACATATGTGCGAGGGGAACCTTTACCTTTACTCTTTAAAGTAAAACAAACGCCATGCAAAATCCCAGTCAATTACACGAGAAAGCAACTGTATACGCATTTGCCATGCTAGTTTTCAGACAAGAAACATCTTTCATCCAGCTCTGGGTTTTCTCCTGAAGTTTTTCTTTAAGTTTGGTGCTCAGACCGCTCTTGAAAGGCTAAGCAGGATTCACAATCAGGAGATGGTAAAAGCTGACACCTATGTTTTCCTTTTCAAAGCTTATTTATAAGTAAAAGGAAATTCTCATCCAATCTTCCCATCCCTATGCATTGAAACAATTATTCCTAGATTTCCTAGAAAATGTATTGATTAAAATGGACCTGGGAAGTGTATTCCATCCGAATAAATGTGGAACGCACCAGTGTGATAGTTAAATTACTTAAGAATTAAGAAAGAGAGAGGAAAAAAAATCTTAAATTAACTCTAAATAATTTCAAGGGAATTTTTAAAGCAATTACCATGAAGTAGCAAGCATGAGATATGGTAGAGAAGAGATGCAGACCAAAGTTTAGAAAAAAACAAACATTTTCTGGGGTAGTAAATTTAGATCAGTCTTGCACATGCTAGGTAGAATATAAAGAGAGAGTAAAACAGGTGAAGCATTGATGATGCTAAACTCAATTTTTTCTTAATTTATTCCTTTCCTGTACTTTCTTTTAGGCCTAAGCAGCAGGAAAAGATGGCTGATTACTGCAGAACCATCTTTGGGGACATGTTGCTGACTGAACCCCTGGAAAAATATCTAGTAAGTGAATAGAAAAATTAATTAGTTAAGTAGTCATTGGATGCACTTGTTCTGACCATCTGCATTTTGCGTTGATGTGAGGATTATATGAATATTAACGTGGTCCATTTCTTTCTTTGGTAGCTAAAACCTGGAGTTCCGTTGCCAAGTCCTCAGGATCTCATGGGGAAGATCTTGATTAAGAATAAGAAGAACCAATTTATGCCTGGGGAGAACCAAGATGCTCTGAAGAAGAGGAAGAGTTTGGAGGATGAAGCCAAACCAACCCATGAAGTCACAGACCAACCCATACCTATAGAAAAGGATAGCACAGGTATCATATCATACAGCAGCCTTTCCAAACTTGGCTTCCTCCAATTGTGTTAGGATTATAATTTCCACAAATTCAAGACACTTCTGACAAGTGAAGTTAATGGGGGAAGCCAGATTCACTTAATGACCACATGATTTGCTTAACAACTGCAGTGATTTGCTTAACTATTGTGGCAAAAAAAGATCTTAAAATGGGGCAAAACTCACTTAACAAGTGCTTTGCTTAGCAATGGAGATCTTGGCATCAATTGTAGTTGTAAGTGAAGTGCCACCTGTGGTGATTCAGGATTATCTAAATTGTATTTAAAAAAAACATTTTAGAGAACATGTATAAAGGAGAATAGAGCTGCATAAAAGTCTGATTCTTTTTAACAAAATGAAAGACTAATGATAGAACTATATAAAGATGATGTAAAGCTTCAAGATGTACTTAACACTTCCTTCTCATTTCCTCCCACAATAATAATTTTGCTGGGAGATAGTGACTGTCCCAAAGTCATCCAATGAGTGTACGTTTCAAAGAGCAACATCTACTTTTGCATTTATTGCTAAAGAAATAAAATCTGAATTCATGGCCCCAAAAAACCATGTAAATTAAAAACAATGATTGGGGCTCAATAACCACTGCTAATTATTTTCTTATACACTGCTCAAAAAAATAAAGAGAACACAAGCAGAAGACATCCGAGATCTGAATGAATGAAATAGCCTTATTAAATACTTTATTCATTACATACAGTAGTTTTGTGTTCCCTTTAGTTGTTTGAGCAGTGTATAAACTACTGTATGTAAAGAACAAGTATTTAATAAGGCTATTTCATTCATTCAGATCTCGGATGTCTTCTGCTTGTGTTCCCTTTATTTTTTTGAACTGTATATATTACAGATCCCTATAAGATAAAGGAGCTACAGTGGTATATATCCAAACTAACCATCTTAATTTGCTTTGAGTTAACATTTTTTATGACCTGCCTCCATTGACTGTTAGTATGTTGTAGTTCACACCAGTCAACAATCTGTGCCTGGGTGAGTGAGCTTCTAGAGCTCCAGAATAGATAGTTGGATGGAGAAAAGCAGAAAATATCAGTCACTCTGGAGGAATTAGGTTAGATGAGAACTTTCGTAAGCATACTGATTTTTCTTTCAAATTCTCAGTCAAGCCAGTTGAGGAGGGTGAAAAAGTTCCTGAAGCAGAGAGAAATTTGGAAAACCTAAACGAGGAAGAGATTAAAAAGCTACAGTCTGATGAGGTATGATTTATGATTTTGTGTATCTAGCCTAAGTATATGGTAATTATTCCAAGACTTTAGTTTAGCTTCCAAGGCCTTAGCTTAATGGTCTAGTGTACGGTAATATCTATTCATAGGATATTGTCCTGCCCTTAACCAGATGAAATAGTTTGGAATTCATACTTTCCTTCACTTAATGGAAGATGATCAGAGGATCACCTCATAAAAAGTAGAAAAACTTCTTATGAAATAATTATGCATTGTGATTTTCTGCTAAGCTCTGTGAACCTTTTAACAGAATAACAGAGTTGGAAGAGACTTTGGAGGTCTTCAAGTCCAATCCCCTGCTCAAGCAAGGGACCCTATCCTATATCATTCCAGACAAGTGCAGGTCCAGACTCTTCTTAAAAGCCTCCAGTGATGGAGCCCCCACAACCTCTGGAGGCAAGCCGTTCCACTGGTTAATTGTTTTCACTGTTAGGAAATTTCTCCTTCGTCCTAGGTTGCTTCTCTTCTTCATCAGTTTGTATCCATTGTTTCTTCTCTTGCTTTCTGGAGCTTTGAAAAATAGGTTGACCCCCTCTTCTGTGTGGCAGTCCCTCAAATATTGGAGCACTGCTATCATGAACCCCTAATCCTTTTTTTCACTAGACTCATGATTTACATGTTTTTGTACACTTTATATGTTTATCATATATCATGACTATGGTATTGGTATACTTTGCACAGATTATTTTATCTTGGTGATGATGTTATTACTTTCCACCTTCATCCTTTGTATGATTCTCTCAAGAAATGTAACAGAATAGTTCACTCTGCAGGATTGAAACGTCCCTTGGAGTCATCTGCCCTACCATAAAAGATTAGCCCTTCAAATATTTCGTGTCTCCTCCTGAATTCTGACAGAGCGTGGCTTTTGGGATTCTTTAATAATGACAATGGAGACTAAACATTTTAATAAATAAATGAAGTTCCTTGGACGTCTGGAAGGCATAACTCTGACACAGCCATGGGGGAAGCCTGTAAAGTTTATATTGTCTTCAACTCAGTTGTTTAACCACACAGCTGCTAAATTCTGCCCTCTCTGGTGTGTCAGTAATACCAATCAGCTGTTCTTGCCCAATTAGCTAGGAAAGAACAAGAGAAAACCAATTAACTCTCTAGTCATGAATAGGGCTATGCTGATCCCTCTTTTGAATATTCCACTCCTAATTTTATAAGAACAGCTTTGCCTAAACTGATGACTTTCCAGGTAGATTGGAACTACAACTCCCAGAAGACTGAATGAAGGATATGTAAATAGATGCATATCTATGCTTCCCCAGATAACTGGAGAGCCCATTCTGAAAGATTCAGATCTGCAGGGTATATCATATTCACTGGTTGTCGTTTATTGTTCTTCTGAATCCTATTTAGTACTTTCTGATGCTTATTTTGCACATCACTGGAGTTTGCATCACAACAATTTGCTCTGTAACACTCCAAATTCCGTTTAGGGAACTGCAGGTCTGGAAGTGACTGCCTATGAAGAAATGTCCAGTCTGGTGAATTACATTCAACCCATCAAATTTGAGAGTTTTGAAATTTCAGCACGTAAGAATGATTTGTTTTCTCCTGTTAAGGAAAACATTTTCATATGGTTAAAGCAAGCCTCAGACATATTTGCACTGAAAATGGTGTATTTATTAACTGTGTAAATGTCATTCTTTAACACTGTTCTATGTGCTTTAGGACTTATATATGGGTAGCTGAGGTGGTAGTGGACAAAGCCCTACTTCTAGTGGCAATATGATACAGGGCAGTACCAATTAAGGGAAATTTATTGCATCCCTAATGAATTGTATGTTTCAGTGATTCTCTAAGTGAGCAGAAGTTGACCCTGCTTCTACATGGTGTAAAATTAAATACGAGATTTACCTGCATGTGGACTTTTTGTGCATCACTGATTCATTGAGAGCTAAGAGGGAGAAAAATGCATTTACATTACATTTGCCAAAGTTTATAAAAAACGTTCTCTAATTTGGGCCAAATATTGAATGAGAATTTCTGAAAGTGATGAAAACTTAAAGAAATTGCAGACTTTGTCCCTTCCATTTCTTTCATGCTAGAATAAAGGATAGATAATAAATAATAATGAAACTGAGATAAAGAATTCAAAGAAATTATTTTCTATAAAAGATATTCATTTTGTGCAAATATTAGCAGTGGAAAAACTCAGATGATTCTACCTTCTAGTTGAAGGTTGAAAAATTTAAAAGAGTTAAATTTTTCTGACCCCCTTCCTGAATGTAGAGCAACTGGAGGGCTGGATTTTGATTTTCAAAATACTGTCAGCATTAACTCATGTTGTTGGAAATACTGGGAGTTAAAGTATCTTGAGGATCCCAGCTTTTAAAGTTAATCTATTGTTTCTACTCCATTTTCAAACATGTTCCTAGACACAACAAAAATAGCTTCACTGCACATAAGTGGAAGCTTATTATACAATTATTTCATGAAAGTTCTACAGCTTGTGGCAAGTATAATTTGCAGCAACACAAATGCTATCCTCCTGCCAAGAAACACAGTTTAATAGCAACTTTGATTAGGCAGTGATTGACTCCTCCCATATTATCTGCAGAGGTAATGTCTACAAATGTGTTTGTTGCCATAAGTGATCTCCTGGATATGCTTCCATGCTCGATGGAATCCTGAAATGAATTTCCACCTGACCCCAACTCTTTCTGTGTCGTCTTTTATTTTTTTATGTGAAGAAGTATGTGCAACCAGCATTTTTATTTAGAAATGATAACAAAGATTGGAAATTAAATGGAAGAAGGGATGGATTTGGAAACAAAAGATTGATTATGCTTTATGTTTTCTTCCTTATTATTCCAGAGAAAAACCACAGTTATGTCGTTTCCTCCTTCACTGAGCTGAAGGCTTATGAGTTGTTGACCAGGTCACCCATCCAGTTTGTTGAGTATCCTTTTTAAAGACATCTCCTTAGTGATTAGTTATGTTATATATCTATATACCGGTAGAGAGCTCATTCCAATTTATACATATATGCCCAAAGAGAATTTCTCTCTACAAATGAAGTTGGAAAAATAGTCGCACATTCCATGGTGTCAGACATAATGTGCAGTTACCTACAGAGTATAGTAACTACTGTTTTTATTATTGTAATAGACATTGTTATTAGCTAGCTGCAGTGTGTTAATAATATTAGATATTAGAAATTCATTTAAAAGCTGTTCACTATTAATCATTCTACCTGGAGGATATGATTCTTGCATCAATATCTATTGAACTGCCCCAGAAAAACTCTTTCCACTATTTTATGTGTGCAAAACAATTATAAACAATAGCAAAGATGGTTTATTTCTGATAATCTCCTGTCTTCATTGCCTCTGTGTCCCTTAATTGCACTGTACACAGAATATTCTTTGTTCCCTTTCAGTTGCACAATGACATGTTTCAGCATAATATGAATTCAATAGAATAGAATAGAATTCTTTATTGGCAGGAATAGCATTTTGGTTAATGTGTACAACTGTTTATCCTATAAAATGAGAATAGTCGTTGCATTCATTCAAACAATGATCTCCTATTAAATGAAACTCAGCTACAACAAAAGACAGATGAGCCGAATTTATCCCAAAGGGACTCGGATAGATTCATCTAACTATATGCCACAGATGTTCTGGAATGTTGGGTGTCAAATGGTGGCATTAAACTTTCAGACAAATGGTGAGTGGAGTGCTTCTTTGGCTTGGGTCCATGTGCTGTATTAAGTTTCTGGCTCTGATATTGTTTTGCACAAATGCATTTACATACATTAAATACAAATGTATTTATTTAACAAACCTATATAGCTGCCCATCTATCAGAAAAAACTCTGATGGTAAACAAAAACAGAATATATTAAAAAGACAATTTAAAAACAGTCAGCAATAAATAATATTGAATCCCAATAAAGCTTGCATCCATCCATTAACCACCCCATATCAAGACATCAGAGTTTGTTAGATCTGAATGGTTATGTGTCTCCTGACTTTAGTCATAATAGAACGAAAGGTGCCCCATTCAGTGAAGCTTGCTAATTTGCTTTTTTTTGTCCTGAGGTGAAATAATCTCCTCTGCCACTTCCTTTCCCAGATGTCCCCATGCAGCAGAACATGGCTCTGTTTGAATTCAATGGGCAAAGTGGCTATCTTCTTAAACATGACTTCATGCGTCGTCCAGACAAGCACTTTGATCCTTTTTCAGTGGATCGGATTGATGTAGTTGTGGCAAGCACTTTGTCAGTCACCGTAAGTAACCACTGTGGGATTGATTGGGGGATTTGCTACCCAGAGGTATGGTGCCAAATATCCAGTGCATCTACTACCCAGTAAGATCTGCATGGCAAAGTAACTCTAGAGTGACCTGCAGGACATTCTGATTATAGAAAAATATAGTTGTTTCTGCATTTGAATAAATGAATTCATCTCATGCAATTAACACTCACTTGGCCAGTTGTAGCAATTGAAAGAAAGATGACACAAATGGACTAATTTGCAATTTTAGGCAAAATATCAGTGTATCTATTCTATTGCAATAGAGTATTGGACATGTACCACTTCATGTCCAAACAGAACAAACCTATTTGAAGTCTTCTCACTGAGTAAGCTCCATATGGCCATGGCTATATTTGACTGCAAATCTGGTGTTCTCCAGCAGCTGGAAATATTCCCAAATCAGTCTCTCAGTTCTTTGAATTCCTCATGTTCATGTAAGCAGTTGGTGTGCACATCTAATCCTTTTTTAAAAACATAATTCCTTTTCCTAGAAATACTAGCATCACCATGTTTAGGAATGTAACTGTGTCACTAGAACTAAAGAAAGCAGCTCAGAGAAAAATCCTTGTATTCAGGTAATATTAATTATACAGTCTAATTTCACTTTAAATACACAAATGTTACACAACTTTTGAATTTATGCTTCCAACTCAAAGGGGGGGGAAGCTGTTTTTGAAGGGAATTATAATGTTCATTGATACTTTATGTTAAGCTTCAAATTACCTGCTTACTAAAATCTAGAAAACTAAAGAGAAACTAAACTAGAACACTTCTGAGTGATACTATGCATTTTTCTTGCAGTTTTTGATTCAAAAAAGCATTTAGTCATGCATTTCTATGAACAGCATTCCACAATAATATTTTCCCAATAGAATAGAACAAATATACAGTCTAAGAAATAAAGTGTAATGTAAAACTAATGGGTCTTAAATAAGCTAATGGGAAATGAACCTAAAGAAATTAAGTAGTAGCTTAAAACAAGATGCAAGTACATTCAAAGGTAGTTTACACATGACACAAAAGCGGGAATTATTCAATATGTGACTGTACTTAATAGTAATTACATGAACGAAGTATTGGAAATGAAACAAAATGAAAGTTAGCTTTTGCCCCAGCCCCATCCACACTTTTTTGGAATGTAGCCTGATCGCTCAAAGGCCAGATTCAGCCTGACAAATGTTATGTGTGCCCCTGGCCAAAAGGGGTAGGGGGGAGGACTTAAGAGCTAATGCTGAATCTTTATGTAACAAATTACTCTCCTGTTCTTGTTCCATGCACAGATCATTTCTGGCCAGTTCCTTTCAGAACGCAGCGTGAAGTCCTACGTAGAAGTAGAACTGTTTGGTCTACCAGGAGATCCAAAGCGTAGATATAGAACCAAAGTGACACCAAATGCCAACTCAATCAATCCTATATGGAATGAAGACCCTTTTGTGTTTGAAAAGGTAACAATCCTTAATATAACGTTGTGTCACTTCCAAGGGTACTATGTCTGCTGTTTCCAGGTCCTGGGCATTTAAGGCAGGGGTGATTCCTCTATTGTTCTTGATATAGGAAGCAGTTGTAAAAATGGAATTAAATAAGCAGGATCAGCAACACATTTTGAGAGTAAATATTAGAATCATCGCTTAGTGATAGGATTGGAGAAAATATTCAGGAACACATTTCACTGAGTAAAAGCTGTCCTCCTCAAAAATTCCAAGCAACAGAGGTTGTTATAATTTGTAGTTTCTAAGACATGTTTTATGGGCAGAATACTTTGCAGACTTCATTTCCTTGTTTCTAGTGACCCTCTCAGGTATTCCTTAATATTTCAATGCTGCAAATGGGAAATTTAAGAGAAAGCGAGGTATATTCAATTCAAAGCTTTTATTGGGGGGGGGGGGAAGCCCTCCTAAAATATGTCAGATCGAGGGTTACAAATTCTGTGCTTTCTAAAAAAAATTAAACATTTGCAAAAGCTCAAGATCACAACATATGGAAATATATCCCCTTTCAGTATAATCTTCATTATTCCGCACATGAATTGCAAAGCATTTGTAATGCCTAGTATGAATATAAGAAAACCAATATAGAACTATCTTCTTAAAATTAGGAATGCAGAAAGCAGCCATATACAGATCAGCAGTAGTGCTTATGTAGTTCGCATTGTCCACAATGACTTTAGGTAGATAGGTGGGTAGAGGAAGAAAGAGAGAGTGGGGAGGAGGGAGAGAACCAAAAGATATAAAGAAGGCTCCAGTACAGTTATTTACATATTTCTATTTTTTGTTTATACCTCTTGGCTATCAGCTCAGAAAAGTTTATATTAGACAGGATCAACCCATATAGTGAACCTTCCCTGCATGTGGGTGGCTGACTTTGAAGCTGGCAGAAAATTTCTTTTTAAAAAAGTGATATTATTCTTGAGCTAAGCTGAATCAGGAAGTGAGAAAGCAGCTAATGAAAAGGAATAACTGGGGATGTGATGGGGAGAAAGGGAAACAGCTCTGCCACTTGCTTTTAAAATCTAAGTAAGCCATATCATCCAGTGGTGGGATTCAGCCAGTTTGCACCACTTCGAGAGAACCGGTTGTTAACTTTCTGAGCAGTTTGGCAAACTGGTTGTTGGAAGAAATCATTAGGGCAGAGAACCGGTTGTTAAATTACTTGAATCCCACCACTGATATCATCCACACGAACATAGAGGAGAAGCCCTTTTAGATATGAAAGCACAGAAGATAAGGGGGCCTCCAAAGGGGACTAGCTGTAGAACTAGTTTTCTCCACCTTGGGTTTTTTAGGTTACAAACTGTCATACAATTTTTTTCCTGGCAGATTTTGATGCCAGAGTTGGCTTCTCTCAGAATTGTAGCTTTGGAAGAAGGTGGGAAGTTTATTGGTCACCGCATTATCCCAGTTACTGCTGTGTGCTCTGGTAAGACACTTGACCATTTTTCTGACCATTGAACTTGACTGTTTCTCTCTTCTTCTTTTTTTACCACGACCTTGGGGTGGCTTCCCATAAATCTTGATGTCCTTCATAGAGCCAGAGGAGAAGGCTGGCTCAAAGCCATCTTTGTGCATTCCTCAAAAGCATAAAGTACTAAAGTAGGATCTCCTTGTGAGAACTAGAAAATCTGAAAACCTTTTATTCATGTCTAATTGATTACAATTAGAAGTAGCTTCACAGTGCTTTAACCCTACTCAGGGCTAAAAGATCTGAAAGTGAGGGTAGGGAGAACTATAGAAAATGGAGTAATGTGTGCCACCAGACTTTTACCTTATTTTTTTCTTCTTCTTATATTTGAAGGAATGCACAAAGAGAGCTCATTCCTTAAGGAAACACACACACTCACAGACACACAGAGACACACACAGACACGCAGCCACACACAGACACATAGAAACACACACACATATATATGAAGGGACGCGGTGCCTCAATGGCTAAGACGCTGAGCTTGTCGATCGAAAGGTCAGCAGTTCAGCGGTTCGAATCCCTAGTGAGCTCCTCTTACTTGTCCCAGCTTCTGCCAACCTAGCCATTCGAAAGCACGTAAAAAATGAAAGTAGAAAAATAGGGACCACCTTTGATGGGAAGGTAACAGCGTTCTGTGCACCTTTGGCGCTTAGTCATGCCAGCCACATGACCATGGAGATGTCTTCAGACAGTGCTGGCTCTTCGGCTTTGAAACGGAGATGAGCACCGTTCATCGGGAATGACTAGCACATATGTGCGAAGGGAACCTTTACCATACTTACATACATACATACATATGTATGTATGTATGTTTAGGTATTTCATCATGAGTGACTTTTGTGAACTTTGGTATGAAACTGGTACACAGTTTACAAAAGCAGAAATAATATGATATCGAAGAACCTACAACGATGCTGTTTTTCTAGGCAAGCTCATTGCATTTCTTACTCTGGTATCCAAATTGCCATGGCTATATATTTTCCTACTGGATTAATCCACTTTCTTTTTTTAGGCTACCATCATGTTTGCCTTCGTAGTGAAAGTAACCAGCCTCTTACAATGCCCTCTCTATTTGTCTATGTGGAGATGAAAGATTATGTTCCTGATTCATGGGCAGGTACAGTATTCTGAGAATGAAAGAGCAGGACATCTATACTTCAGTTGCAGCGTTTTAAAAAAGAGTAAAAGGTGGCTTTCACTCTTTATTGCTATTAGTCTTGATTTACTTCTAGATTTTTAAGATGAGGCCTGGTGTACATTGGCCAATTAAAATTATTTACAATACCTTCTGGATGAAGGATGTTGAAAAGATTCTCTTAGTTAAAATTGTGAAATAACTTGAATGAGGCATTGGATGAGGTGTTTTGTAGGTAGATATGAGGGTCTTAAGACAGCCTTCAATAAAGATGTCAATCTTATAATAACTGTTACCAAGATATAATCAGTGTAGAAGATTAGGGAATGGCCTTGAAGGACAGAAGGAAGAGCTGTCTTCTTCCTGTCAGGCAATAATCAGACAAACACAATTTAAGTCCAGTTCAAAAAAACTAAATTGAGAAAATGTCTCAGATAGGTCCTTCTCTCATTCACACAAGGAGAAAATGAGAGGGGATGAGAGCATACTCAAAATTGCAATATTCTGTACTGTAGTTGTTCCACGAAAAGTAATTTTAGACCTACATGGCATTGATTTCCTAGACTGGTCTAATTATGGAGGTACTGTCAATAAGAACCAGCCTATATTGCCATACTTGTAGCAACCACAGGATGCGTTTATCTTCTTTTCAGCTATTTATCAGTCTCCCAGGATAACAGTAAGTAAGATAATGCCTCCTTCAGATTGATCTTTGCTCCTGGATACATCCATGCAGCTTTCTTGCCACAAGTGATTAGTCATTGCCTTACTCTGAAGATTATTTATTTATTTATTTCCCAATTGAGCCCACAGACCTGGTGTTCTTCAGAGGTTTCCTATCCAAACACAACCAGACCTGTTCTTATTTGATATTTTTCTTTATTTCAGCTATTGTTCTTATTTGGTTTTTGATCCCAGACAAGGTCAGCCAAACAGGACAAAGACGAGGAAGATTTAAAAGTCTTTTTTGCTTCTTTTCCTAGCTGAAGGAGGGTATATAAGTCCTTCTTAAGGAAAACTGTAAATGAGGATGTAGGTCACTCAACATTGTTCTAGAAAAAATACACTTTGTTGCTCATATAAATGATATATCTTTGAACTAAATACAAGCCCGTTTCAGTTTTATCCCAATGCAGGCAAAATGCAGAAGCTTAAAAATCTATTACTGCAAGTTTTATGTCTTTATTTTTATTAGTTGATTTAGAATAACAGAAAGCATATAAGAAAAGGCAAATATTACTATGTTCTTAGTAAAGGAAGTAGCAATCAATCAATAGGAGATAATGAGATGGTATTATACATTTTGTTTTTTTAAAAAATAGATCTCACCATGGCTTTATCCAATCCAATAAAGTTTTTTAATGCACATGATAAAAAGATGAAGAATGCAGATGCTAATAATGGGGTGAGTTCTCCAAATAATATTTTGTTTGTGTAAAATATCTGATTTTGTATTTAGCTCAAATCAGGCTACTAGTGATAGAAGTTAAGTCAACATATTCCATCTCAGAATCTGACATGTCTCTTAATAGCAACCAAAGAAAAACAGAGATCAATTATTTTAAAGAGGCTTTTAATAAAATGGGCCAAATGTTGTTTTAGAATCATAAAATTAATACTTCTGAAAATACTTCAGTTAGGATCAAGAAAGTTATTCATACATTCTGAATGTTAACAGAGTTATCTGAAAGACAAGAAAAGTCTAAGAAATTGGGATAGGAAATAGTTTATAGATAGTCCTTGTTAATGACTGGTTGCTTAATGACCAAATTAATAATGGCTTCAGAAAGAGTGGTTTATGGCCTGTAAAGCACTTCCAACCATTACAAAACATTACACCAACACAATAACCTACAATCACATGATTATGATCTGCATGCTTGGCAACCAGTTCACTGATCATGTGATTGTCATTTGCAATGTACTCTGTTGGCTTTTCCAGAAGGTCAGTGGGGAGAGCAGCAGGGAAGGTTGTAAGTAGAATATAGGGAGGTAAGCTGAAATCCTTCATGGGGCTGGAGGAACAAAGTTGCAACCCTTGAATCCTGAAGATTTCATCTCTGTTCAGCCCAAAATGACATAGAACAATCCAGCCAAAGTTCAATTCTTTATTTGCTTACACACAACGGACAGAATCTGCCAGGATCTGCCCATACTACTCTCATCCTAAAGGATATACCCTGGGAGATTCTAGGGAGTGGCCATTCTAACTCTCTTCCTCTGTCTCCTATCCAGCTGTGGGTTGTGTTGCCTCTTGTCTCTCCCCTTTTCTTACCATGTGCTTACTCCTTCCTGGGAAACTGCTCCTTTACTATTGTCCATCACACCACCTCCCTCTCCGTAGACACCACTCTTTGCCTCCAGGAACAAAATAAAAGCCTGGATATATCACCGTGTTAGGGAGCAGCTGAAGTGCTGGTTTCCAGACTTGCTTTTCTCCACTTCTCATCTGATTTAGACAGTTATTCACAAACAGAGTGACCGTCTCATCAAGTCTTCAGCAGATTTCACATTTAATTATCAAGAAGCTGTAAAAGGAATTTTCTTGAAGCTAAGAATAAGACAGTAGTTGTTGTTGTTAGTTGCGAAGTCGTGTCCGACCCATCGCAACCCCATGGACAACGTTCCTCCAGGCCTTCCTGTCCTCTACCATCCTCTGGAGTTCATTTAAGCTCATGCTTACTGCTTCAGTGACTCCATCCAGCCGCCTCATTCTTTGTCATAATTAGAAGGTAGTGTCAGTAGTTAGAAGGCACATTTTACTGAGTTATCATAGGTCTAGATGCTGCTGAGCAATTTATTTGGAGTGGTCAACATGAAAAGTATAGCAACGCATGTCTATTGAGCAAGTCATAGAATATTTGGGGCTGTCAGAGAACCAAACAACCTGAGGTCTTCAGTTTAAAGAAGTCAAGTGAATGGAAAAAGGAAATAACATTTTTCAGGTTGAGAAATTTTATTCACGGGCAGGACATTTACACGTGCTACCCTGAAGAATGATGATGGACTATCTCCACTTGTTTATAGATGCACCTTATGATACTTCATCTTTCTTGCTGCTTTCATGCAGGAACATTAAAGTGCCAAACCAGAATAAAAAAGCAACAACAATATAGGATTGGGTAGGAAGCAGCCAATTTTTCCTCAGGATCTATTTTTGCACTGACACCAATTTTCTGCTGAACTTTATTTTATAGAAATCCATACAGGAAAAGGATCTTTCAATCAATGGGATACCTAACATCCTAGGAAGCTATTGCACTCCTTCAAATGGCCCCGCAGGTAATGTTATGGAAATGATAGGAGCTGAGAATGGGAGAACACATATAATTCACATATTGAAAAGAGATGGTGTAGCTCCCTGTGACAAGAAGTAGGATCAACCCACATCACTGGGACCAGTTGATCATTCTGATGATAGTAAACATCTGTTATAAAGGAATAAAGTTTTAGTCCACTGTGATGCTGTTTTCATTCTCCAGGAACCTTGATTACACCAAAGGAAGGGACCATGAAAGAAGCTGCAAAATTAATTACAGGTAAGAAAGTCCTCTCTTTTTAGCAATCTGACACAATGACACATGTAAACAGATTCTACACATATATCATTATTGCAAAATGTGTGGTGATTCAGCCAGAATATGATACATTCATATCAACTGGTGGGCTTTATCACATTACTTTTCAAAACCCACTCCACAAATTTATTCAGAGACTTCATTGTGGAAAAAATAGCAATGGGAATTAAGAAACCCCCTCCTCATTACAGTAAGAGGAGACTTGAAACCTTTCATTTTATCAAAGCCATTTAGGGTTTTTAGAGAATATATGATGTGGAAGGTATATGTTCCCAAACTGATTCTTTAGGACTTCAACAATTTACTTATCAATTCTTAAGAGACTATTTGCTTTGTCCTGGTTTTTTTCTGTCTTTTCTTTTATAGTATAGTATATCTTTTCTTTTACTTTCCCCAGTATTGTAGACTTCTTAGAGAGCTAGGACTTCACATAAATAGGGTGATTTGAGCCTTATCATTTGTGACTCAAGTAAATCTAAATGTCTTTTCCAAGGCTGTCATTGGTACTCTACTCCAAAAGCTAATCTGTGGCATATTTCTCGGCTGCTGGTTCTTTTACTTGATATTCACTCTTGAAAGGCAGAAGCTACTTTGTATGTTATCTTAGTCTCATTTTTTTTCATTATGTTCTTTGACTTTTACTACTAGAGTTCCAGATCATTTGCATATCTGCATATCTGCTCTGATAGCTGCATTTTCAGCTATCAGAGCAATATCATCAGCAAAGTACAATTATCCAGTATGCATCAGCAATGATATTCCTTGTTCTTTCATAAAGCCAGCTTTGATTGCTAGCATCTCCCTTTCCATGCAGAGCTCTAATCTGCCTTGAGGCATTGTTTTGTTAGCATATGAAATTAAGGATGTTAGATGATAGTTTGCTTTGCACATTCTTTTAAGTCTTCTTTCTTTAGTTTGGTATGTAGATTGACTTACTGCAATCTGCTGGCCACTCTGTCCTTCTCCGGTTCTAGCCAAGCTATGCTGGCATAGCTTGGCTAGAAAATTTAATGACTAATGGGCCCAGATTCCAGAGGGAGTTTGGTGTTGTTTCTGCTGATTTATTGCACAGTCCATTTGAAATGCTAATAACCACTTGGAAAAGGGGATGGTTGAAGCTTTGGATCAGATCTTACCCATGAAACTTCTCTCCTCTGGAGATCTTAGCACTCCCTGTGGTTTATGGAAGAATTGAGGGAGATGAAGTGAGAAAAAACATGTCACGAGCATTGCTGGCATTCCCCAAGGGATAAACTGGACTGAACATGGGTCAGATCCATTATAAAGGCCTACCTAGTAACAGTAAGGCAGTGAAGCATTATTATGTCTCTGCTCTTATTGCATTTGCAGATAGTCACACTTTTTCAAGTGACATAAACTTCTTGGATAAGGGTAGTTTGGAGAACTTCTTGCAGGGGCGTGCAGAGAAATTACTAGGCTCTGTTGGATAAAATTGTTTGGCTTCATTCTCAATTGGACACTGGCTTTATTGAGTTTAGTGGAGATGCATAGTCTTGGCTTTTTATCTGGGAAGAGTTTGAACCTGTTGGACCTGAGGAAGTAGACATGGTTCTTAGAACTGTTTGCTCAGTCACCTGCTCTTTAGATCTGTATCCCTCTTGCTGTCTCCTCCTAAGGAGCAGCTGACCAGAGCAGATGTGGTCAATCTCCCATCCTCTCTTTAGTCAGACAAGTTTCAAGGAACCGGTCTACTCCTGGTTTCTTGGGCTTTGCTGCAGTCATTAGCTGTCTTCAGTTTGTCATTCCTCCCCTGAAAGTAAAGTAAAGTAAAACTTTTACTGGAAGTAAAAGTTAGATTTTTATTTTTTTAAAAAAGGAGATTATCCTCATCCACCAAGTTGTTTCCTTCATAGAGTAGAATACAGGATGAAGCACCAGATGTCCTGTTTTTCATCTCTATTCTGTTGCCATTATGAACATAAAACAATTAAGGCTGGAATAACCAAAGGTCACTCTCTTTGGGACCGCTCATGCTAATTACTCACTGTAATGGTTCTGTTTTCTGGGAAATGCTCGGCCTGTTTGGAGGAGCGGTGTTGTAAATTCTTGCCTATTCATGCCTCTCTCCTGCTTTTACCTTCTTTTGGTCATGTTTTGCTAGTTATCTCTTTTTGTTGTTTGCTAGTCTTTAATAAATAAACATCAAGCTATATTTTTACTCACTGTACTGGTATATTTGCTCGCCTATGCATATTGACTATGCTGGGTGCAAACTGGAAATTGTGGTTATATTCCAGCAACAGAAAAGTTTCACTTCTACTTAGAGTACAGGTTGATGAAGTTGTCAGTGCTTATGCTATCTGGGAATTATGGAAGTAGGTGCCCCACTACATTGTGGAAAGGACCCAGTTGGGACAAATTTCTCTTGCATGATTATTGTTTTAAGAAAGTTTGAAAAGTTCACTCCAAGTAAGATAAAAATCCAGAAAAAAGTGAAGCATTAGCCCTTTGCAGAACTTGGTTTACAATGTGGGAGCATTATTTGCACATTGCCTCCAAAAATCTGGTCCTCACTTTACCAACCTTGGAAAGTTGAGCCCTGACAGGATCGAATTCCAGGTATGGGCAGAGTTTGCTTGCAATACTGCACTTTAACCACTGAACCACCAGAGCATAAGAAGAAATTAGTCAGTTATTCAGAATAATAGCTAGAATTCAAAATGGAGTCATGGAACCTAATTTATAAGTAGAGGAAGAAGTGCCACTAAACCAGCTTCCCATTAAGCCAGCTCCATGTCCAGCTGGAAAACTCAGCTAAATGGACCAACCATTGAGCAAAGTATTGGGGATCCCCCATCAATATTATGAACAGTACTCATCAGGTGGCTTTGAAATTTTTACAGATTCACTCTAGAGCAGGGATCCCCAACCCCTGGGCCATTAGGAACTGGGACACACAAGCGGCGGCAAGTGAGCGAAGCTTCACCTGCGCATGCATGGGATCTAGGTTGCGCTTGGAACCATTCCCCACTACCGCTCCGTAGAAGACTTATTTTTCTTCTGAATCTGGTCCCTGATGCCAGAAAGGTTGCGGACCACTGCTGTAGAACATTCCTTAGTGGGATCTGTATTGGGTTTTTTCTTATGTTTGAGGTGCTGAAAAAGACAGAATATATTCATGCAACACAAGGTAATCTTGAGAGAAAATAGGCATAGTAAATTAGTTGTGGAAAAAAATCCTTCAAGAAAATGGCAGCCTAGCATCTTATTTCAACTGATGGATGTCTTTTTCATTCTGTGTTTCAGAGCCACAGACAGCAAGCATTGAAGAGATACAGCAGATGAAAAATTTTGGGAAGCTCTTGAAAAAGCAAGAAAAGGAACTAAAGGAGCTGGAGCGGAAGATGACAAAGCGCAAGGAAGAATTATTACAGAAATATGCTGCTTTTTTCACAGAGGTGGTTAGCCAGCTTGGCAGAAAAGAAATGCCATGCCCATCAAGAACTCCACGAAGAAAAAGGTAGACTTTAGTGCAGAAATAATAAAGCAAAGAGTTTCTTATTTGCAATCAGAATAAAACAGTGTTTTGTTGCATTACAATTTTGTTTTTCTGACGTCTTGGTGACACAACATGGAGCTCCCTGGTGGTTTCCCATCTAGACCTAGACTAGATTTGGTTCTGCTTAACCTGTTAGCATACTAAATGGATTATGACCAACTCATAATGGTAGGCTCAAGCAGAGGGCGTGCCATTTACCTTCATTTCACTGTACCTGCCTCTGGGTATATGTTAAGCCAAGCAAGAGAGCTGGAGGAATGGAATTCAACCACTAGGCATGTGGTTGCCTGAAACAGAATTCTCTAGACATATTTTTCTTTCTATTTTGCTATGTTCCATCTTCCTGGCCTGTAGCTCTTCCAACAATATAGTTCAGAATTTCTTGCTAGTATTGAAAAACTGGATCAGTTCCATCTATCTGTATCCTATCTGCAGCCTATATAATAGACTACAGTCTAGGGCAGTGTTTCTCAGCAACTTTAAGATGTGTTCTTAAAGATCGTAAAATTGCTTAAATTGAAAAACTGAGCTAGGGAAAGGAAAAACACTGCTTCCCCTCAGAAAAATAGACATAGATAAGAGTGTTTTCCTGTACATACATCAGTGGTGGGTTGCTTCCAGTTTGCCCCAGATTGGGCAAACCAGTAGCGGTGGCGGTGGGAGGCTCTACCATCCGCCCGGACGCTTCTATGCATGTGGAGAAGTGTCTCACATGTGCATGAGCTCACACACACACAAGCGAACCGGTAGCAAACTAAATTGAAACCCACTACTGACATACATGCAATTTCTGGGTCCCCTAATTCCACAATCATTAAGTTTTTCCTTTTCCAATATTGGGGAGTGGGATATTTGAATGGCTCTTAAAAGACAAATGAATTTCTGTGTTGCCAAAAGTAGGTACTTTCCCCTGTTTAAATGGCAGTTCTGGTGCATTTCTTGAAGTCTTTTTCTTGAAGTACCGGTATTTTCATGTCATAAACATTCAATATATGAAAGGACACTATCCAAACAATATGAATGTTATGCTTTTCCAGTACAGAGATTTGGTAGAAATTGGAATATGGGGTTATATGTGTTAATATGGTGGTAGTGCCAGAAAAAGGTGTGGGAAGCAGCCCTTTATCCAACTGGTTTATTCCCAGTGCTATTCAAATGTGCCAAACAAGAATGCTATGAAATAGGAGGAGAACAGGCATTACACAGCTCCAGACACCAGGCAGAATTATATATATGTAGGTCTTTGATTATTCGGATTTTCTCCCGCGTAAAATTGGAAGTGTCTTGGCGACGTTTCGACGAAGTCTCATTCCGTCATCTTCAGGCTGGTGTTTTCGGCTTCGTGCTTCGAAGCCGAAAACACCAGCCTGAAGATGATGAATGAGACTTCGTCGAAACGTCGCCAAGACACTTCCAATTTTACGCGGGAGAAAACCCGAATAACCAAAGACCTACATATAAACACCCGTGAAAACCTCAGAAAAATGTGTGTGTGTGTATATATATATATATATATTATTTATCTTCTTAAGTTTTTTTTATATTTATATATATAATCTTTACTTTCTGAAATGGCAAGATCAGAGCAAGAAATTCCAAATTTCTCTGACATAAAAGTAAGAGTGTGAATGCCACTCTAGCTGCTGGATTGCAGTTGTTTTGCCCTTTTGTCTAATAGTGCCTGTCTATTGAGGAAATAGATCAAAAAACTGTGAAGTATTACTGATGACTCTCATTTACTGATCTGCTCATAGAGTAGATATCGTGACAATATGCCAGGGGAAAAGGGAAGTAGAGTCAGGGTTTGCCCATTTCTGCCTTATATTGAGAATTGTTGCTGTCTCTGAAGTTGCAGGATAGTTTTGGATGAAAGCAGCACAAAAGGAAATGCTGCAGAGTTGACCGAGATTGCTGATAATAAAATGATGGAGCTAAAAGAGAAATTGGAGGAAGAATTACTCCACCTGGGAGAAGAACAGTATGATGCAATCTGGAAGAAGAAAGATCAGCATGCCATAGAGGTATAGTAACCATATTTGTATTAACATTATTTTATTTAATGCAGTTAATGCAGCTAAACAGCACTAATGAACCTGAATCATTTCATTAAGACTTCATTATTATACATGTTAAACTTGTCAGATGGCTTTAAACCCAACCCCAGATCTGCTATTTGAATTTTCATTATTGTTTTGGGAAAAAAGGTCATACTGTGTGTGAATATGGCTTCCTTATATTACCAAAATGATATTTCATTATATTTCTGGGGCACTCAATTAAATTGATAAGTTAGAACTGATCATTCCTTGGCAATTCTCAAGAAAATTTATCATTTGAGTGTAACAGGTGGGAGATCTCATCAGTTCCTTCCTTCTTCAAATTTGTGTAAAATACAAGTTTGCTCACTCTCACACACCCTAATGTGCAACACGACAGTATATTACAGACACAGCTTTGGAAACATCTGGAGCCATTGAATTAATCACTTGCTGTGTAGTTCCTAGCTGTGTAGTTCCTAAGGTAGGAAAGTGGCACATTCTTCTTTGCCATGTTTTCCCTATTCAGTTTTCCCATTGTAGTTCTCGTAGGCCCATAGCAAACCTGCTTCAAATGATTGGAATGATGTGGGAAGTTGTAGAAAACATTTCAAGGAGAAGAAGGGATCAATGCTCTCTTTCTTCTGTACGAGCTTCTACTAGATCTGAATCCTTTCGGTAGAAAAGATCCTCCTAGTTTCAACTCAGGATAATGTCTATGGAGATTGCTAGTCATCCAGATCATGAAGGTTGCCACAATGTAAAAAAGATGTTGAGACTCTAGAAAGAGTGCAGAGAAGAGCAACAAAGATGATTAGGGGAATGGAGGCTAAAGCATGTAAGGAACAGTTGCTAGAATTGGGTATGATTAATTTAATGAAAAGAAGGACTAGGGGGAGACATGATAGCTGTTTTCCAATATCTAAGATGTTGCCACAAAGACAAAGGTATCAACATATTCTCCAAAGTACCTGAACGCAGGACAGGAATGGATGGAAATTAATCAAGGAGAGAAGCAACCTAGAACTAAGGAGAAATTTCCTGACGTTAGAACAATTAATCAGAGGAACAATTTGCCTCCAGAAGTTATGGGTGCTCCAACACTGGATGTTTTTAAGAAGAGATTGGACAACCATTTGTCTGAAATGGTTTCCTTCCTGAGGAGGGGATTGGACTAGCTCCAAGGCCCCTTTCAACTGTGTTATTCTGGTATGATTGTCCCAAAGTTGCTTTTTCAAAAGGCAATTGGACTTTCTTAGTTTTCCTTGAAGACATCTCGCTTCTCATCCAAGAAGCTTCTTCAGTTCTCAGTACTTTGAAAAAGCACCTTTGGGTTGACTTGGGATAATGTTTAAATAAATAAATAAATAATAAAATAAAATATTTTCCTTGTGCTTTGTTTAAACAGAAAGTTGCTAAAATGTTACAGCTTGCAAGAGAGAAGCAAGCATCTGAGCTGAAGGCACTAAAGGACTCTTGGGAAAGGTAATAATAAAATTAATGTCAGTGTGTGCAGAATCTTTCTACTCATTTTTGTAGATTTTCTTCTCTCAGCCTTATTTTGTTTGTCCATTGTGAAATCTGTGCTTTAAAACCTTGAAACCTTCTGTGAGCAAAGTAGAAAAGGAGCGAGCATTTAATATTCACCACAATACACTGTTAAATTTGTAAACTCAAGCTGATTATCTTCCTTTACAGCGACACTAAAGAAATGAAAAAGAAATTAGAGGTGAAGAGACTGGATAAAATCCAAGCCGTGGCTAAGAATGCTGATAAGAGTGCTCAGGAAAGGTATTTTTGACTTCACACCCAAATGTAGCTCATCTCTACTGGATTTGTGGTTTTTAATGAAAAGGGAAATTTTAAAATAAATGCCTAGATTGCTGTTGTATGTACTGTATTGAATCAATGTTTGAACCTACAAAACCAAGCCTGACTCTCCAAGTGAAAAATTATTTGCGCACTCCTGATTTGGAGTCAAATACTTGCAGATCTTTTGAGCGCGAGAAAGAAGCCATTCTCCTCACTTGAGAACTTAAAACTTGAGAAACGTAGGGAGGCTTAGTCATCACTTTAAAACATAGTTAATATGACCTGTGTCATTCTTCAAGCTGCAATATAATAAGCTGCATTTGTTTCTAGTTTTGGTTAATTGTAATTTATTGTGCATGACAAGTAAGAGGGATGTCTTCAGGTATGACGGGTTGTATGTGTAAAAACAATCAAGATTTTAGTCAGGCCTTCACATCTCCTCTCCAGCCTGTTTACAAATGAGGATGGCTTCCATGTTCCATCAGTCCTCGTTGAGGAAGATTTTAACATAAGCAATCTTGATAACCCATGACGAAGTTGGATCATTTGATGCAGGGGTGAAATCCAGCAGAATTCTAACAAGTTCTGGAGAACCGGTAGCGGAAATTTTGAATAGTTCGGAGAACCGGCAAATACCACCTCTGGCTGGCCCCAGAGTGGGGTGGGAATGGAGATTTTGCAATATCCTTCCCCTGCCACGCCCACCAAGCCAGTAGGGAAAAATTTTGAATTTCACCCCTGATTTGATGAGATGAAGGAGAGAAGATGGGAAGGAATGCAAGCCCAATGTTTCTTACAGTAACTATACCTGGCAGATTCAAAGTATCTTCTTTCTTTCCTTGGTTTCTTAATATGCTGCTTCTTCACTTCAGTCTCCTAATAACCAGTATTTTAGTCTGAGGGCTTTATTGTGACCACACGTCCAGAACAAATAATAATTACCACATCTTATGGATGAACCTGCCATCTGCAATTGGTATAATTTAGCCAGTCCTAGACTAGAGTCTTTTGCAGACAAAAATATTACTTTTTCTATATTGAAATTCTTTCTGCTTTTAAGTGATTACATATGGTACAAAAACATCTTATCTTAGTGGATGCCTTAACAACAATCTAAGCTGTAAATTTTAAGTAATACATAAGGTTTGATTTCTTTTTTCCTAAAGGTTAAAAAGAGAAATCAATAATTCACATATTCAGGAAGTTGTAAAAGCAGTCAAGCATGTAAGTAGCTTTCTGGTTTCTTTCCTTAGCATCTAAAAGAACAATTATTAGTTCTGCCCTACTGATTTGGGCAAATGCTGTGTCTAGTGATTTACAAATGCTTCCTCCTTGCAAGACACTTGATTCTAATCCAGATATAGGGTCCAAATCCAAGGGGGCTCCCACAACTTTACACAGATCCCTAGAAGAAGAATAAGAGCTTGAGCTGCAGTGGCACAGTGGTTAGAGTGCAGTACTGCAGGCTACTTTTGCTGACTGCCAGCTGCCTACAATTTGGCAGTTCAAATCTCCCCAGGCTCAAGGTTGACTCAGCCTTCCATCCTTCCGAGGTGGGTAAAATGAGGACCCAGATTGTTGGGGGCAATATATTGACTCTGTAAACTGCTTAGAGCGGGATGTAAAGCACAGTGAAGTGGTATATAAGTTTAAGTACTATTGCTATTGGGCTCTGACCCTCATTTAGTAGATCATGTGTCTTTCACCACTGTCTTTTGGAATATTTTCAAAGCTGTATTCCCACTGCAGTATTTTATGTGGTGCCTGGAGTAGCTTCAAACCATACGTTACAGTGGCCTTGATACCCATTTCATCTTTTTTTCTGTGATTTATGTGGGTGTTAAAAAATACTGAAGTCTTCAAATTTTAGACAATTATCCATCTGGGGTCCAGGTGACATGCAATGGGGATAAGTGTAATTATTCATTATAAGCAGAATAAACAAATTGAAAGTAGTTTAAAGTCATAACATGAAGAAACAAAAAAAAATAAATAAGTACATTGATTTTAATTAAACATATTTCCATCTGATCAACTTAATGTAACTAAATATGAAGGCCATTAAGGTCAGGTAGAAATGTAATCAATCTATCAATCAATCAAAATAAACTTTCATAGGGCAGAATTTTAATTCATTGATTTTTTTTTTCACAACTTAATCTAACTCACAGTTATTATGAGTGAATTATTCCGCAAGAGTAAGTGTATGAGGAAAATCATTACCATTTTCAAATTGGAACTGAAGCACTTGATCGTTTGCCCCTCCCCTCGGCTTAGTCACATGATCATAGAACGTTTCTCACCGCCTTAAGACATTCCAAATGATCACCTGTGCATGAGACAAACTGATGTCAGGTCAGCTGTCTAGGCATAATGTCCTATGCAGAGAAAACTAAAATTGGGATCAAAGTGTCATGAAACTAAGAAAAAAGACATTGAAGCATTCCTCTTATTGCCTGTGACTCAGAATCCAAAACTTAGTAGTCGTTGGTTTCAGCATTGATGTATAGCAAAGTATTCTAGTACAGGTAGTACTTGAATGTTCTACCAGTTCATTTAGTAACCATTCGAAGTTACAATGGCACTGAAAAAAAGTGACTTATTACCATTTTTCACACTTATGACTGTTTGCAGCATCCCTGATGTTTGACAAGTGATTCATATTTATGATGGTTACAATATCCCGGGATCATGTGATTACCTTTTGTGACCTTCTGACAAGCAAAGTCAAAGAGGAAGCCAGTTTCACTTAATAACAGTGTTACTAATTTAACAACTGAACAATTAACAAACTGGGCAATAAAGGTCGTAAAATGGGGCAAAACTCACTTAACAAATGTCTCACTTAGCAGCATAAATTTTGGGCTCAATTGTGGTCGTAAGCGAGGATTGCCTGTAATATATAATAGCAAAACAGCAGTTGTCATATATCTGATATTTATAAAAATCATACTAGAATATGGGGCTTTGGAAGGATAAGGAGAGACTAGGAGCTAAAATACCCTGCAGACTTCATCACTGGTGTTGTTGTACCTACAGAATGATACTGCATTGAGATGTTGCATTTATATAATTGCATGGAAGGTTATTCCTTCTAACATACATTTTTCTCTTGCTTCAAGATGAATGAGAAACAGTCAAGGCATCAACAAGTCTTGGAAGCAAAGCAATCAACCTGCCTAGGGAAAATCAAGGAAAAAGAAAGCCAGGTATCACATGACTAATTTACAGTAAATGTCCTTTCAGGATTAGTAGTATAGCAGGGTCTAGAATAAGTCCAAAGGCTTCACAAATTATTTCCCTTCAGAAGTACTGGAATTGCAACTGCCAGCACAGCTCAATCAGCATGGCCAAAGCTGACATCTCAACGCACATGGAAGATTGGGGAAGGCTGAGGCAGCCTATTCCCTGCTCTCCAGTCCTCTACTTATTAAGCACCCATCTATGCCAGGGATGTCAAACTCAAGACCTGCAGGGTACTTAGATCTGGCCCACGGGGCCGCCCTGAAAATAATGTAGGATCGGCCCACAGTGCCTCTGCCAGCAAAAACAGGCTCCTGAGTGCCGTTTCGGCTGTGACAGCCTCCTGCAAACCCTCTGCCAGTAAAAACTGAGCTTGGCACGTGGTCCTCCCGAGCTCTGTTTTTGCTGGCAGAGGGTTGCAGGAGGCTGTCGCAGCTGAAAACGGAGCTCGGGAGCCTGTTTTCACTGGCAGAGCGCTCAGCCCACCACAGATGCTGATACAAATGATGTTAAGCTGGCCATGCCCACCCTAGGCATGCCCCCCCACCCCCCGAGATCAAACACAACCCTGATGCGGCCCTCAATGAAATCAAGTTTGACACCTCTGATCTATGCCATAGAGATTGCATTCACCTCCTTGAAGATTCATTCATGAAATCCTATTTGTTCTGAGCCTCTACATGATAGCAAGAATAAACAAACTGCTTAGGCTTACTTGAATAGGATTTTTTATTTTTTAAAAAAAATCAGAATGCAGTTTTCTTTGGGACTGCTGTACAGTGCATGAGGAAAAGAGTTTGAACCTTTCATTCCCTCCATGTTAGCAAGGTGGAGTTCCCTATAGGCCCCAGTGGGAATAATCTTCTCCTCCTCACATCTATAATTACAGCAGAGGAATGGAAAAAGTAATTTACCACAGGGATCTTGTCCTCGGAGAGGAGTATTTTTTTTAAAAGTTGGCATTGCTAAAAGACACATAACTGAATTTGTAAACATGCAACAATCAGGTTTCTCTACTGTGAACCTTTCCTGTCTCTTTCTGCAGCTCCAGCAGGAAGCATTTGCCGAGTATGAAAGCAAGATGAAAACTATCAGTGCAGAAGTGCAAGATTCAGTGAAGAACTGCATGAAAGTCTGTTACCCTTTGGAAGCTGAGACGGCAAAGAGAGAAGCTCCTGGAGCTGCTGGTGAGGGAGACCAAAGGCCATGTGGGAACTTGGTGACTTCTGAGACTCTAAGATATGCAACTGAGGTGGTGAAGGAGGATGTTATCATGGATGAAGAATCCACTGATGCCCAGGAGAGCAGATTGTAAGACTTAGCAGAAGTCTTATTTTAAAGTTCCTGTATTTTAAAAATAAATCTCATTTTGTTTCAGAGTTCCATAGAACATAATGGAATATCTGTTAGTTATCCAATGTTTTTGAATAGTAGGACATTTTGATCTGGCAGACTTACATCAGAGGTTTTCACTCTGTTTAGATTTACTACTAAAATCCAGCACCAAGAGATATTTCCTACTACTGGGATCACAACATAGAATGAGCCTTATTGGGTGGATTTGAACAACAGCCAGCTAGTTAAGTTTCTCAACTCTCCATCTGGACAGGCAGGAAGGTAACAGCCCCATTATCTCAAAAACCAAACTTGCTCTGAAGCAGTTTCAAGTCCAAGCCAGAAACAATTGGCTCAGTTGTTAAACGGAAAATGCTGAAAGGGGGAGGGAAAATACAAAAGGACAAGGCATCAATTCTGGAGTGGAAGACACCACATATAGAGATGCCCATGCTGAAGTTTTGGCAGTTATAACCCTTCCCTTCAGAAGATTTTCCAACAATACTATGGAGTGTTGATAACACCCAGCTTATTCTATTTACCAAAGTCTCTACATAAAGAGGGATCACTTCCAAAGTCTCACACATATTAGCTGATTGCAGCAAACATTTAGCATGTAGTCAGTTCTTTATGGCAGGGGTCTCCAACCTTGGCAACTTTAAGACTTGTGGACTTCAACTCCCAGAGGAGTTGAAGGAACTGTGGGAATTGAAGTCCACAAATCTTAAAAGTTGCCAAGGTTGGAGACTGTTGCTTTATGGCATTCAATAGACAACTCTGAAGCATCTCAAGGGTCCTAGCACACAATGGAGGTCAATCACAATGCAGAGGAAATGTGCACTGTTTCCATTTATCTAAATTAAGCCTGATTGAAAAACAAGATTTCTTCCCTGATCGGAGAGGACTCTTTTCTATGTTTGGCTGTTTTCTTAAACCACTTTTGTTGTGGGACATCAGCTGACATAACATCTTAAAGGGGACAATCAGCAGAAAAGAGCAGAAATAGTTCTCTTAATCTGAACAGACACTGCCAATTAACCCAAGTTACTCTTCTTTGTCCCATGTATATATACACAAATCGCCTCACAGATATCCTTAATCATAAAGTCTTTGTGACAAAATGCAGCAACTGAATGCTGCTTGCCATCCAATCATGTAATCACCCAGATACATATTCTCTCTGGCACTCTTATAAAACTGGTTGTAGGAGAAGAGGTGGCTGACAAACCAGGTTAGACTCAGCAATTTTTAGCTGCTGCAAGTTTGCTTATCCCTGAATAGATCCATGACCACTGACATGTTCCAGGATGAGCCAGAGAAGACTGCTGTTCTAGAGAGGTCCGATGGATCACTACAGATACTGTGACAAGATATTCATCACTAGGATGTCTTTTTCTGGCTGCTATTAATTGCATATCCAGTTTATGGCTGAGTGGGGGGGAAAAAATCAAACACTGAGATTTGTTAGAGGCAGTTTTTAGTCCTATCTTGCTTTTTTCAAGCTATGTGAGCAGGCCAGTCAGCTGTCTTTTTCTGTGGGCAGCAAAAGAGCTATCTCAGTATTGCTGTCCCAACTGTGAAAAAAACTAAAAAAAAACCCAGTCACATCTACCAATAGAAATATATTTTGCAAACCTGGCCACTCTCGAGTCTATCAAAGGAATAATTTGCAATGTGTACCAATTTGTCATCTTTCACAAAACCAGAAGGCATCCAAGGAACTGCAACTGAAATTAGTCTAATAGATGTTTTGAGAAGACCTTGTTTTTCCAAAACAAAAGAAAATATATGGCTATTTTCAGGCCATGGAATGGCAAAAGTAAATTGCCTTAAATTTTTTGGGCAGGGGGAGGGAGTGTACATGCAAACAGGTGTCCAGCAAATATGAAAATTGTGCCATTTCGCAAACAGTAATATGAGATGGTTTTCAGTTTAGGGATGACTTCTTGATTAAAATAATATATGTAAATTCATTCAAGATTAATTAGGGCAGCCATCAATCTAACTTAGGAACTATTAGTGCCACTAGATCATGGCCTCGGTGCAAAAGGACAGGGAATGATATGTTTGGAGCAATTCCAACATCTGCAGAGAAAGGCTGCACCCTTATTTTAAAAAAGGAAGAAATTCAACTCTGCAGTGGTTATCATAGCTGCTTTTAAGATACTTTCTGACTTGATTTTATGGATCTCAGGTGAATCGAAACTTATGAGAGTTCAAGGGGTTAGAAAGCCATCTTACAACTAAGGAATAATCAAACACCAGATATCATCAGTAAGATTTCTTCATTTGTAACATTTAAGAAAATATTGTATCATGAGAAAGGCAGATTCGTAATTCTAGCAAGTCACTGGCCTTTCATAAAGTATGAAACTGTCCCACCACCAACATTCATGCATGTATTTTTTTTAAAAAGTGCTTTATTTTTTTAATGGGAAGAGGGCTTTTAAAAGTACAGTTTGGAGATTGAAAAGAAGATAAATCTCTGGTAGAAAGTATAACCAGCCTCATCATAGGCCATATTTCTAATAAATTGATCCATTCTCTGACCACAAAGAAGTTCAAATCTTGACAGGCTAAAATGAATTGATTGCAATAAAAATGTTTCTAGACTAGCTATTTCTTTTAAAGTATTGTTTCTACAGTATCATCAGCTCTGGAAATATAAGGGATTAAACCTGGAAGATTCAAAGACAGGAACAGCTTCCACACAATGTGCTTGAGAAAAGAAGAACCCATTCAATTAAAAATAATTCTGTACCCTCATGAGACTCAGAAATGATTGCTAAGATGCTTGGAAATTCTGTAATGTTGTAGCAATTTATTCAGTTTGTCAACAAAATATGCCCTTTTTACAAATATATGCTCCCCCCCACCCAGAATTAAACATTACAAATATTGAAATATTGCATCAAAGTGTGTTGGTATGCATGTATTCACAACTGCTCCAGTTATCCTCTAATTGCATTGCATTATAAATCTTATATCTCTCAGAAGCAATAATCAACAGTGCCAAATGAGGGAAAGTTGAATTTGATTAACCAATCACTGTAAGACTGGAATGATTTACATTTTTCGGGGAGGGAGTATGTGTTATGATATAAGAACCAAGCACCGCACAACAGGGTGAGCTCATGTAACTTGCCCCAGTAACAAGAACTTGTTCACCTTGCAGTTCAAAAGCGTGTAAATGCGATTAGCAATAGCACTTAGACTCAAATACCGCTTCACAGTACTTTACAGCCCTCTCTAAGCGGTTTATAGAGTCAGCATCAGGGGTGGGTTCTATTTACCTTTACTACCGGTTCGCATCGCGCCCACACAGATCAAAATCGATGACATCTGGGTCAGTGGGCGGAGGCTCCCACCAGTTTTACTACCGGTTGTTGCAAACCGGTCCAAACCGGGGGTAATCCACCACTGGTCAGCATATTGCCCCCAACAATCTGGGTCCTCATTTTACCAACCTTGGAAGGATGGAAGGCTGTCAACCTAGAGCCGGTAAGATTTGAACTGCTGGCAGTTGGCAGTTAGCCGAATTAGCCTGCAATACTGCATTCTAACCACTCTGCCACCACGACTCTTGTACATAAAAAGATAGCACTTTGGTGTATACATACCAGTATTCTGTGTGCCTTGGCGTATGACCACGGAAATGTCTTCAGACAATGCTGGCTCCCTCAGCTAAGAAACTGTAATGAGTACCACCCCCTAGAGCTGGACATGACTGGAAAGGTGAAACCTTTACCTTTTATTAAATTATATATGTATGCATGTGTGTGTGTATGTATGTATGTATATGTATATCCTCGACTTATGACCACAATGGAGCCCAACAATTCTGTTGCTAATTGAGACAGTTATTAAGTTAATGTTGTCCCATTTTACAACCTTTGCCACAGTTATTAAGTGAATCACTGCAGTTGTAAAGTTAGTAACAAAGTTGTTAAGTGAATCTGGCTTCCCCGTTGATTTTGCTCGTCAGAAAGTCACAAAAAGTGATCACATGACCCCTACACTGCAACCATCATAAATATGAGCCAATTGCCAAGCTTCTGAATTTTGAGTACATGACCATGGGGATGCTGCAACAGTCATAAGTGTGAAAAATGGTCATAAGTCTCTCTTTTCAGTGAATGAACTACTGTATGTTGAGGACTATCTCTCTGTGTGTTTGTGTGTGTTATGGAATACATTTTTTATTTAAAGCAGGGTTTTTTTTAGTGCTATATTAACCACTGCCTTTTTTTCCTCTGCCTGTTAAATACCTGGACAGGAATTTATACCAGATTATAAACCTCCTGGTGAAAGAAAAGCAATTCTCTGTTTTATGTATTACTGGCAAACTTTCTTTTCTTTCTATGTAATTCCTACCATTCATAACTTCAAATCTTATACAGAAGCAGCGGGTAACTAGGGTTCTTCAAATACTGCTGGATTAAGTGGTTTAAACAGTGAGCCAAACCAGCCGAACGATGCCAAGGCTATCGTTCAGCAACATGTTCCCCATCCCTTCAGTAATAGGTAGAAAGAAAAAAAATATTGCTTTCATGAGCCATAATTAATACTCCATTGGGTTTTAAATGCTTTGAAGCAAGATAGGAACTTATTTAATCTTTTTGCATCTGGGGACTGCCAGATCACATGGAAAATCAAGAACAAGAGACTAACTTCATCCCAGGAGGATAACAATAACAACAACTAGAATAATCATCACAACATAGCAAATGGTGGGTTAATCCAACTCTATTGTTGAATTAATCAACTGTATTAGAATTTATTACAAAGGGCTGGTTACAATCAATGTTATAGGTGTTATATACTCTTCAACAGTCAGTGAAGAAAGCAAACTGAAGGGTATATGTCAGTATGAAAGACTTCCGAAGGATGGGTCATTAAATTGTTGATGTGAACTGCAAAGACACAGCTGGTGTCAGTCTGTTGTTTTATCACCACACTTAGGCATTTCGTCAGACTTATTGCAATACTCATGATGAGAAAAATAATCATGCAAATAATCAGAGGATACACTATAAAGGCCACTGTTACCAATTTATATTTAGAACCATCTGAATGCTACCTGAAGTTGTGAAGCTATTATTTAATGGTGCCCTATAAAATATGAATAATTCCTACTGTGGGTAATTAGAGGTCTGTAAAAGAGCATAGCCATTTATCCACAAAACATTCAGTAGATCCTTTACTTTTGCCATCCTTTCTCTATAGTGATTAGTAAAGTCTCCCTTGAGTCTTGGGATTCCCGTGCAGTTATTTCCAGATGACTCATGGATAAAATCAGGCAACAATTGTTGGCAACAATAAAGAAATAATTTGCCATTGGCTTCTTCTGGGATATATTTCAATGATTTAGTCTGTTCTACAGTCTTGGAATTCTGTGCTGTTCTCTCAGCTAACTATTAATTAGGACTGATCCTGTTTAGTCTCCTCATATAGACAAGGTCAGCCAAGTACTAACCACATTCAAGAGTTTTTCAATTTTTCTAAAAAAGATGGTGTGATGATACTTATTACAGTAATTACAAACAAGGCTGAAAGAACCGTATTCATCTCAAATTAAGATACAAAGAACTGTTGAATTAGACCCAGAATAAGATGAGGGAGAATGTGACATTCAGTTCCCTATGAGCTTCTGGTTAACAAGCTACATGGATACAAGTTAGAAGTATAATAATTAATCTTCAAGTGGCTTTGTGGACAAATTATGCCAACAACAGGCTACAAAGAAGAATGAATGAATAAATGAATGAATGAACAAACAAATGAACAAACGAATGAACAAATGTTTAAAAAGTGCCTCCCCCTCAGCTTGTTAACCAATTGGAAGGAGCTATCAAGCAAGGTATCACAAGGTTCAGTCCAAGGCTGTGCATTTTTCAACATTTTTATTAATGATTCAGATGATGATATGGAAGAAAGACTTCTAAAATTTGGAGAAGACTCACAATTGAGAGAGAAACCTAATATTTTAGAAGACAAAAATGACATTCAAAGTTGTACTGCTAAGTCAATAAAGTGATCTGAAAATAGCAAATAAAATTTTGCACAGGCAAATGAAAAAAAATTGTTTAAGAAAATACACAAGTACAGGATGAGACCGCACTTAAAATGTAGCCAATAGCACATGAAAAATACCTTATAATTCTAGTTATCACAGAATATGAATTAACAGTGTAAGTCACAGTGACTTCAAAAAGACAAATGCGGTTTTAAATGCCTCAATAGAAATATATTTTCTAAATCTTGAGAAATAATTTCTCTATTCTATCCTTCACCAATTATATCCCATGTAAATATTATCCTGTACGCTAAGAAGTATTTAAAGTGAAAGAGATGCAAAAATGTGCAAAGGGATTATCAAGTATTATAAATAAATTTTATGAAGATGGACTAAAAGATTTTCCTCATTTGACCCTGGCGCAAACATGCTCTGGCAACAACCTCTCTTCATTCCTGTGTCCTCATCTTCACCTGATCTTTAGGCCGTACATGAGGCAACCTTAAGCAATCTTCAACTTTCCGTAAGTTTTTCTCATGGATATAATCAACTGAATTTCACTAATCTTTTTGTTGGTGTTGCAGTCAGAAGACCTTTAGGGAATGGCATAATTCCCAGCTCCTGTTAGCCACTCTAGACTCTAGTTCCTAGACTCTATTGTTCAGAACCAATTTGGTTTGAGCAGTGAGGAGAGTAGAGCTCTTTCAAACCAGATTTTCTCCTTGTGGGAAAAGGGAGTGTGGTGGCCCATAAACTTTCCCACAGTGGAAAAGTACAGTATGAAGCAGGAAGGAGCCATTGTCACTACAGACTTTTCCTTTATACCTGCCTGCTCTTAGGTTGTTATTAGTCCCTAGATATAGTTATAGCTAAGCCCATTTTCAAAAGGACGTAAGAGCCAACTTTAAAGGGGGCAGGATTGAATAGTGGTTAGAAAGCATCTCCCACTTCATCGTGAAGTGGCTTAGGGCCTGGTTATTTACGGGACCGCCTACTACCACCAATAGCCTCCCACCGGCCAGTACGCTCTCATAGAGAGGGACTCCTCCGGGTGCCGTCAGCCAAACAGTGTCGACTGGCGGCCCCTAGGGGGAGAGCCTTCTCTGTGGGGGCACCTACCATCTGGAATGAGCTCCCCCCGGAGATACGGAGGATCCCGGATCTGCGCTCCTTCCGCCGTGCTGTGAAGACCTTTTTATTCCATCAAGCGGGCTTGGCCTAATCTCTTCCCTTTTTAAATATGTAAATTTTAATCTGTTTTTAAATTATTGGGGTATTTTAATTTGTCTGGGCCAAATAATTTAATTTGATTTTATCGGGTTTTTAAATTTTGTGTATTTATGTATTTTATTGTTGGCTGTTCACCGCCCTGAGTCCTTCGGGAGTAGGGCGGTATACAAATCAAATGAACTAAACTAAACTAAACTAACTTCTCTGGGGCCGCATATGGACTCCTCTTCAATACACTTGTGCAAAAAGATTGCACAAAGCTAGAGCAAGTTTTGACACAAGTCTAAACCTATCAATCTAGGGCAAAATTCACCTTCTCCCCAGCTCATCCCATTTGAGGAGAATGAGTGAATGATCCAGTCTTCCATCAGCTGGTCATATCTGGAGGGGAGAAAAACAAAACTGTGGCAATGCCCCAATCCCTTTCCTTAATTTGCTTTGAAGATATCACCCTGAAGATAACATCTGGCAGCAACATAAAACAGGCAGGATAGAGAATGGCAGCAGGATAGCAAACTACAGCTGGTAGTTTTTTACTGACTCAAGCATTCATGAATACCACTGCAGCTGCTTAGAAGCCAAATGGAAATGAACTTCCAAATAGTTTTCTTGGCAACCATATGGCTTTCCACTGCCTTCTTCCAAGATAGTTTTTCAGCTTCCCTATCTACACATAGCCCTCAACTTACTACTAGAATTGGGACCAAAATCTCTGTTACTAAGCAAGGTGGTTGTTAAATGATTTTTGCCCAAATTTATGGTCTTTTTTTTTTTTTGCCAAAGTTGTAAAGCAAATCACTGCGGTTGTTATGTGAATCATGCAATTGTTAAATTAATCTGCTTCCTCCATTGAGATTGCTTGTCAGAAACTGGCTGGGAAGGTCACAATTGGTGATCACATGACCTCCTAGGATGCTGTAACCATCGTAAGTACATGCTGGTTGCTGAGCACTTGAATTTTGATCACATGACTGTGGGGATACTACAAAGTCATACGTGTGGGGGCCAATTGTAATTCATTTTTTCATTCCTGTTGTATCTCCAAATGGTTGTAGGTCAAGGATTACCTGTATCAACACACAGCCAAAAACAATTAGGGAGGAAAAATTACTGCTATGATTTCAAAGTTTTAATAATTATATTATATAATTATTATAATTAATACATTTTAATAATTCTTGGCACTGATTCTACTAAAAATCAAAGATAAATCCCAGAAAATTGTGGAATTCTGTGTGGAGTTGCCTCATTTGTGCTCACAATTAGGCCAACCTGTCCCTTTAGAGCCCTTTAGAAGAAGTTCAGGGACCAAGATGTTGGCTAGTTTGCTGGCTTTCTTCATATGACCATTGCCAACTGCTAGAAGACTTTCAGCACATCCCGGTATATCTTGAAAAGATTGTCATTGATATGAATTTCTCACTTTCTATACCAGGGGTCTCCAAACTTGGCAACTTGAAGACTTGTGGACCTCACCCTCCAAAATTCCCCAAACAGCCATGCCAGCTGGGGAATTCTGGGAGTTGAAATCCACGTCTTAAAGCTGCCAAGTTTGGAGACTCCTGTTCTATACCATCCTGTATCTGGTTTCAGTACCTGTACAGAACTAAGCACAAACTGATGGGAAATATACAAGGTCCTGTCTGCAGAGGCATTGACACTGGATATCCTGGCAGAGCAAAAGGAGGTGCAATGCACCCACCAGGACAGGGGTCTGCAATCTTAAACACTCAAAGAGCCATTTGGACCTGTTTCCCACAGAAAAAAAAACACCGGGAGCTACAAAACCCTTCCCATGCCTGAGTATTTCTTGAGCGGCCACAAAATTAGCATATGTTGAATTAAACGTTCTGTTTTCTTCTGAAACTTTTCTTTTCTTGGATTTATCCATGGTTTGCCTACTCGGGGTTGAAAAGCTCAATAAATTGCATGCTGGCAGGTGTCACACATTGGTGGTTGTGATGTATATTTTGAGTGACAAAGAGCCGCAGCAGAGGGGTGAAAGAGCCACATGCGGCTCCAGAGCCGCAGGTTGCTGACCCCTGCACCAGGATGATCTCAAACCATGAAAATGGTGCTTGTTCCACTTACTGGTCCTGCTACCATCTGTCACTGTGAAAAGCAAAAATCAAAAATCAAGACTCTGGTTTCTGGGTCCTGAAGACCGTACATGAGTACTACATGTATATACAACTTATCCTCCAACACAACCATGCAATAAAAAAGCTGAATGCATAAATGCATATCCATCAAGTGACAACCTGTGTCTGCATCAAATATCTCTTTTTCACATTAAAAAAGCTTTCTCCAGGTATCGCCCTCCAGATATGCTGGATTTCAATGCCCAAAACTCCAAAGTAGCAAGGCCATTGCAGAGAGAGAATTAAAGGGGAAAAAAGAAACACTTCTGGTAAATCCCAGATTTCAAGTAATTAAATACAGTATAAGACTACCAGACCTGAGCTGCAAAAATTCAAACAGCCATTAGAGGGAAGCAAAGAGAAAAACATCTGCTATCATGCAGTGATCCTGCCAATTTCTTCAGCCCAGATTTGGTAGCCCTTTAGATACAGCTGTCTTCTACTCACTGAGTCATTTTATTTATTTATTTATTTATTTATTTATTTATTTATTTATTTATTTATTTATTTATTATATTTCTATACCGCCTTTCTCCCGTAGGACTCAAGGCGGTGTACAGTCAAGAAAAATATAGACACACAAACATCATAAAATTGCTAATTAAAATTATTACTTAGTTTGGTCAATTAAATAAAACCCAGAATTAGATAACATTTAAAAAATCATTCACATGTTCATATGTTTAGCCCCGCCTTTTGGAACATCAGGGTTTTGAGGGCACGGCAGAAAGCACGGAGATCAGGGATATTCCGTATCTCCGGGGGCAGTTCATTCCAAAGGGTTGGAGCCCTCACAGAGAAGGCCCTCCCCCTGGGAGTCGCCAGTCGGCATAATTTGACTGACGTTACCCTGAGTAGTCCCTCCCTGTGAGAACGAATTGGTCCGTGGGAGGCTATTGGTGGCAAAAGACAGTCTCGTAGGTACCCAGGTCCTAAGCCATGGAGCGCTTTAAAGGTGATAACTAATACCTTGAATCGCACCCGGAAGACCACCAGGAGCCAGTGCAGCTCGCGTAGGAGAGGTGTTACATGGGCGTAGCGAGCTGCGCCCATAATCACCCGCGCGGCTACATTCTGGACCAGTTGGAGCCTCCAGATGCTTTTCAAGGGGAGCCCCATGTAGAGAGCATTACAGTAGTCCATACGGGAGGTAACTAGGGCATGAGTGACCATGCGCAAGGTGTCCCGATCCAGAAAGGGACGCAACTGGCGGATCAGGCGAATCTGATAAAAGGCACCCCTGGCCACAGCCGTCAAATGATCTTCTAAAGATAGCTATGAATCCAGGAGGACACCCAAGTTGCGGGCCCTCTCTGTGGGGAGCAAGATCTCATCCCCTATTGTCAGTGATGGTACTAGCTGACTATACCGGGACGCCGGAAGCCACAGCCACTCGATCTTGGAGGGGTTGAGTCTGAGCTTGTTTCTCCCCATCCAGATCCACACGGCCTCCAGGCAACGGGACATCACAGCAAGGGCATCATTGGGGTGGTCTGGGGTGGAGATGTATAGCTGTGTGTCATCAGCATACTGATGAACACTCACCCCGAAACCACGGATGATCTCGCCTAGCGGTTTTACATAAATGTTGAACAGAAGGGGTGAGAGGACTGACCCTTGTGGCACCCCACAAATAATCTTGCCTACTCAATACAGGTAGTCCTCGATTTACGATCACAATTGAGCCCAAAATTTATGTTGCTAAGCGGGACAGTTGTTAAGTCAGTTTTGCCCCACTTTACAACCTTTCCTGCCACATCAGTTAAGTGAATCATTGCAGTCGTTACACAGTTAGTGTAACACAGTTACACTAGTTACACAGTTACACAGTTAGTTAGTTACACAGCAGTTAAGAGAATCTGGTTTACCCATTGACTTTGCTTGTCAGAAGGTCGCAAGGGGCGATCACATGATCCTGGGACACTGCAACTGTCATAAATGTGAGCCAGTTGCCAAGTGTCTAAATTTTGATCACATGACTATGGGGATGCTGCAATGATCGTAAGTGTGAAAATGGTCATAAGTCACTTATTTCAATCATATTGTCACTTTGAACGGTCACTAAATGAACCCTTGTAAGTCGAGGACTGCTTGTATTGTATACCTGAGCTTTGAAAAACTCAGAGGAAACTATCCCACCATTCAAGAACGTCTATTTCTTCTTACTTAGACGGTTTCCCAATTACACAGAGATCGTCCGGGTCTCCGTTGCCAAAGAGGCCCGGGAATCAATCTTTTGGATTTGCCTTAAGATTCCCGCCCAACCTGACGGGCGAAAGCAGATGGGCGGGGAGCTCCTGCCGTCCGTGACTATCTCGGAGTTTGGACGACATCCCTCCGCAGCCCGCCAACCCGAGCGCTTAACGGATCTGTCTCTCTCGGAGCGGAAAGGCGGCGATCGCCATGGAGACTTGAGGGGAGGTTATAAAGCCGATCTGGAGAGCCGCCGCCTCGAGTCACCAGCAGGCACACGAACCGGGGGGATCAGGAGCAGCGGGTGGCCATGCTGAAACCGCGGGACCTGGGCCCCGGGGCGTCCACGCAGACTTTCCTGGAGGCCATGAGGGCTGGCCGGATGCATCTGGCGCGCTTTGTCCTGGATGCCGTCGATGGGACGATTGTGGATTTCCGATCGGACCGAGGACGTTCGCCTCTCATGTACGCCGTGCTGCTGAAGGACCCGGCGTGGCGACTGGCCTTTGCGCGACTCCTGCTGGAACATCAGGCCGCCGTCAACCTGAGCGACGACGCCGGGCGCAGCGCCCTCAGTTTGGCCTGCGAGCGCGGCTATTTGGAGGTCATCAAGCTGCTGGTTCAGTTCGGCGCCGACCCAGACACGGTGGACGCGCGAGGCTGGAGCCCCCTCATGTACGCCTCCTCGGAAGGGCGGACGGCGGTGGTCGAGTGGCTCTTGCGCGCCTTCCGCCGCTTCGGGCAGCTCCGCCTCGAGCGCGCCGACCGCGCCGGCCACACGGCGCTCCAGCTGGCCGCCAGCGGGGGCCACCACCAGTGCGTGCGGGCCCTGCGCTCGGCCGGCGCCTTGCTCCTCATCTTCCCGGCAAGCTCGCAGGCCGGAGACGACGACGACGACGACGACGACGGGGCCGCGTCGGCTGCTTCTCCCCCGCTTCGCGCGGCCGGCGAGCGGCAGCTCCCACAACACCAGTGGAGCGCGCAGGAGCAGAGATTCCAAGGGGAAGAAGAAGAAGCAGAAGCAGAAGAAGAAGCCGATGGCCCTGAAGCGAAAAAGGAGCCTTCGGCGACGAGGGGCCGCCAGCTGATTCGCAGGTCCACGGCCCCTGACTGTCAGAGTCTTCTCAGCCACTGATCGTGGGCGCGGGCGGGCGGGCGAGGCGGCTGGCAGTGACCCGCTTTTCCTGAAGAGCCGCGGCTCGTCGCAGACGCCTGTCGGGTCCTCGCTTCGTCGCGAAGACGCCGCCGTTAGGAGTGCATCCGATCCAGCTTTCCTTGACAAATTTCTGGGGTTACCCCACTCCGTTATATCGTGCTGTTGACTTCAGCTCGTTAGTATTTTACAATTCTGCGTCGCTAGCGGGTGGACTGGGATGTGGCTTCTTGAAGGGAAGGTTTCCTTGAACAAGCAAATTAGAAGTTTATTTTTCTTTGCTTATTAAATGCGGCGGAATACCTTCGGTCCTTTTATGTGTGTGTTTTTATGTCTTTTCATACCAAAGCTATGCAATAGTTTGTTAATGCTGCCCCCCCCCCAAAAAAAAGCCCCTCACCTTTTCCTCTGAAATAAAAGGACTCAAAGTGCTTAGCTCGAAATCTGCTCTCATGGTGGTTTTCTGATGAGGAAAAAAATTTATTTCTCATGTTCATCAATCATTTTTCAGCCAAAGAGCAAGAAAGCCTGAAAGACCATTAATATGTGTTCATGGCAGTTTCTATGGGGATAGTGAGGATTGTGTTTGTTTATTTGTTTGTTTATGTTATTAGTCCTAATAAGAACCTAGAATCAAGTACTATAAAGATAAAAGTTACAGGCTTTGAGGTACTAAAGGTACTGAATGCACAGCCTCTAACAAGAAGCAGAAGAGGCATAGAAACAATAAAAATAATACGATAACATTTCAGAAGGGTATTAAAGTTAAGACTTAATTTTAAAAAAGAGCTTATATGATCAATTTTATCTTGTAAATTATATTGTTAGCAATCATTATACTAATGGAAGTGATATTTTAAATGCACATATAAACCTGCCTTGAAAAGAATATGAGTTTGTGTAGAAGTTATTACTCTCTAAACTAGTCTATTTTGCCTTTTTACTTGCAGGACTGGCTGCTAGAATTAGAGTTCTTTCCATTTTTTATACTATTTTATGTGACATCTCTGGGAAGTGGGGGGGGGATTAAAAGTAATTGTGAGCTAAAAATGAGATTGAGACACTGGAAATTGGCAGGTGGGATGAGAGCTTTCCTTTTCCTCCTGCCACTATTTATCTGACATGAGTTCCCACTGTGGCACTTGAGCACAGTATGGTATTCATGTACAGCTCCCTTGGTACTTGCCTGGCTCTCTCCCTCATCTGACTACATTGAAGAAAAGGGGAGGAGAGTTGATACGTAGCAAAGCAAAAACAGCATATTTATTATTTGTAAAAATGCCTCTGGAACCCAAATGAATCTCATAAACTCTGAGGAAAGGAGAAATGACAGATAATTGGTGCCACCAAGTTCATGTTCTCATCTACAACATAGAGAGACCTTCTTTAGGATGATCTGTCTCCAGCCTGTCTCTACAAGTCGTCCAGTGATGCACCCATTGCATCTTGTCTCTCTACCGTGCTGCTCTCTACCCTCTTCTTTCCTTCCATCTTTCCCAGGTTTGTGTATTTCTCAAGAAAACTGAGTCCTTTGTATAATGTGTCCAAAGTATGATAATTTCAGTCTGGTTGTATTTACTTATTTATATCCTACCTTTATTACATATGCAAATAACTCAAGACAGCGAACATATTCAACACACCTTCCTCTTCCCATTTCCTCCCAACAACAACCCTATGAGATGGTTGGACTGAGTGAGATAATGATTGGCCCAAAGTTACCCAGCTAGCTTTCATGGCTAAATCGGAACAAGAACTCATCCCAGTTTCTAGCCTGCTGCCTTAGCCAAGTGATAACTCTTGATTTCTTCAATTAAAAATGATAGATATTCATTTGAAAGTCTGCCCGTCTATGAAGAAAAGGGACAAAAACAGAGGCAAAAGGAGAATCTTCTGCAAGAAGGGGCAAAAGGGGAAGTAGATAACTTTCTGATAAAGCTCTGCTTTGTATCTGGCCAAATCCTGTCTTTTTTTGTAATAGGGCCAGTCCTCTCAGCCAGTCGTTAACAACAATGTGCCTAGCAGCCTACCACATAACATAAGGAGTCCTGATTTAGCTACCTTTTATGCAGCCATCTTTGAATTTAGTTGGAACCTGGAGTTGGAGGAAGACTATTTGTATTACTATATATCCTTTTCCCCTTCCCATGGCTAATGGTAGATTCAGTGGAATGATTTCATTCAGGCCTGTGGCACTGGGGGAAAAAAAGTTAACTGAACCCTCCTAGGGCTGCACTTCAAAACTAAATTGTCTGCTAAGTGGATTCCTTTAATCAAAGAAACATGCTGTGTCTCCTGACCCTAGGTTTCCTCTGAGATGTCTTTGTTTGGTCTGAAGGATATAGATGCACACATTCTCGTGAACTAAAAGTATCTATTTTTTCCAGTTGTAGTATTTCCACTTGGGAAATGAAACTTGTTTATTTATTATTTAGAGTATGGTAAATATATGGACTTGTAGTGGTTCAAATGTTAATGTCCACTGCCCAGCAATTCAAGGACAGGGTGGTCTATGTTGAAAAAAATCAGACATTGTGTAAGCTCTTGATGGACATTCGGACACAATGTGATGAATATTTTGTCAAGGAGCACCACAGTCACACTAAGGGGTAGAGACAAGACCCCACTTAAACAATGAGTCCTGGCAGACACCATGTTGGGTACGGATTCTGTTCAGAGTTGACCAATCCTGGCATGGAAGGTCAAAACCTGGCACCTTTTGTGTAGGGTCATCTATGTAATTGCCTGTATCTGGGCATTCAGCAGCCCATTTGGCTTTCTACTGTGTGTTGATGTCAAAACTGTTAGACAGCTGTTGAGTGAGTACCAGAGAGGGCTTCCTGGATTTAAGCCTGCCAATTGATAGATGAGGAAGACCAGCGTGCACAGGAAGAAGGGGGTTTCTCATAATTTTGTTGTACTCCTTCACTAAGGCTTCCTGCCTTCATAGAGCTGGTGGTGCAATATGTCTCAAGATGGGGAGCCAGCAAGTAGGTATCAAAGATGAAACTGATAGTGGTTGTGTAAGTCTGGAGCTGATCAAACTCCAGATTCCCATCGGCTAGCATTGGCTAATTGACTGATTGTGACATCAAGTTAATAATGACCCTTAGTGACCAGATAGATAGATTTTCACCAGGATGATCTGCCTGGTCCTTAAAGCCTTTGTAGGCTAGCCCTGCATAAAAAGTCAGCATTGAGACTTTCAAATGTATTGTACCATTCTACATCTTTAAAATTTTTGCTATTAAGATACATTATGCGGTAATAATGCAATTTCAAATCCCTGCTCTTTGCTTGTCTCAATTATTACAGAGCTTCCCTCACTGAAAAGTATTTTTCTGTTTTCATTGACATTCTAAGACAATAAGATTTCTTTTTTTTTTCCTTTCAGTTCCTGCGGCAGTGGACTATTTTGCTTTCAAAATTTACTTCAAAATCCATTGAAACCTAGTTCTCTTAATTATGAAGTGAATTGAGCTGAATACTATTATTTGGCCACTTTATTTGGTATCTAATCACACCAATATTTTATTAAGAGCCGCAGTGGTGCATTGGTTGCATTGGTTAGAATGCAGTATTGCAGGCTAACTCTACCGACTGCCAGTTCAGTTCTCATTGACTCAAGGTTGACTCAGCCTTCCATCGGTAAGGTCAGTAAAACGAGGACCCAGATTGTTGGGGGCAATATGCTGACTCTGTAAACCACTTAGAGAGGGCTGTAAAGCATTATGAAGTGGTATATAAATGTAAGTACTATTGCTATTGCTAGACACCCAGGGAATCTGGTTACTTCCAGTAGCATGAGATGTCCTAGTGGAGGCATTGTCTTCTATAGATGTGTTCCACATACTATTCCCCCCCAACACTTTTTCATCCCAGGGAAAAATAGTGCTAATCTATTGACCTTCTGAAGATGGTATCCAGTGTTTTATTTCTTAAGCTGGGGAGATTCAGTCTTGAGATTGTTTATCCATGGACCATTGGATTCCTCAGCTTTTCCCTCTGAGGATAGAGAGAGGATTCAAATCTTGGTGGTCAAGAAATAAGGCCAAACTCTTTCTTCTGCCAGCCTCCATGGCTAATGATGTCTTGGAAACCTTCATTTTGACACAAACTGCACCCCCAAAGAGGACATGCTGGAGATTGGTTTGAACATGCCCCTAACCAGAGATGGACTTAGTACATGTTTAGATGGACAAAATCTTTTATTTTTCTTCAATTCTAAGCAAGAAGGAGGAAAGAGATTTTTTTTTCCAACATAAGCAGGGCAAGGAAAGAGAGAAAGGCAAATGTCTACATATTCATTATTGTTCTGCCTTGCTGGAGCCATCCCAAAGGCAGTAACATAAAGATATTCCATCCTTAAGCACTCCAAACAAGATCCAAAATTGTAGTGTGAGATAACAATACAAGACTCCCTGGAAGGAAGGCTTAGAATCTGTGGAAAGGGAACATTTAACTTTTCAAGTAACTAATGGACAAATTTAACAGCCCCCAGAAAAGGAAACTCTATCTGTTCTTAAAGTTGGTGATTGAAGGCTTTTTGCTGCTCTGGAAGCAATGGGGCTGGACAATATTACTTTAGACATAGGATTGTTCAGTTGCTTAGATTCTACATAGTGCTATTAGTTATGACCATCACTTTACTGGGCTGTGCTTTATGCATTTTAATTATGCATGTGTCCATAGAGAACTTTCTAGGTAACTGGAACATTTTAATTTAAACAGAGGTTGTATTGTTTTCACAGCAGGCTCTAATTAAAAGAGGAAGAAATCATAGGAGATTGTAGCACTATGAAATACTCCAGGACTTTGTCCTCCTGACTTTTAGAATATTGTTTGAAGTGGACAATTCTGTAAGACTTATAATTGAAGTTACCACTTGGAATACAACAGAATATAAACTGTCTCTCCTCATGATCATAAATTTATTTATTCATTTATTGAAAAAATCATAGGTACTATAATGGTGGATGGTATACACTACAACAATAAAAACATAAAAACCACAACAGAAACTCCTGGCATCCTAAAAACAACATACAACAACATTACCCATCCACTTTCAAGTGTACAAAATTCCAGACTCACCTTTTCCAAATGCTTGCAGCTCTTCAAGGTCTTCCAGAAGACTAGGATTGGATCTCGGGGAGAAGGGGTTTCCACCGAAAAGGGACTGCTATAGAGAAAACCCACTTCCTAGGTCCCACAAGATAAATCATGGCTTGAACATTCTTGAGGCTAACAAACTACACAGTCTCAGCTGGAGCAGCATTATCAGAACTGGAGTGAGAGTCTGAATCTGAATCCTGGCCCATGATACACCAGGTGGGGTAGGTGAAAGGAAAGATTTCGTTATGGGTGCTGGAGAGGTGTGTGAAGGACAAGTTGTGTGCCTGCTCAGGTAGAAGCACTAAGTGGGCTTCTAGAGAAGGACCAGAAGGACTAAACTATCTAGATTCTAGACCAACAGGCTCTGCTTGTCTAGAATCTAGATAGTTTAGTTGGAAGTGGGTGGCTCTCAGTCCCTTGGGGATGGAAAGCTGAAGGGAGGGGAAGGTAGATAGGAAGAGAAAGGAGATGATAAGGAAGGGAATTGCAGTGGTGAGTATTGCCATGGCAATGCATTGCAATGGCTTGGGAAAGTATGGTGGGAGACAGGTGGGTGCTCTCAGGGAAGGAGGTCCCAGAGTTTAATACTGGTACTGCATTTTGGCTTCATGTTTGACTTCATGTTTGGTTTCCAGAGCATTGATAGTTTAGTCTCAATCTGATTGTGGATGGAAGAGTCATCTGGCTTGTATCACTGAGACCTAGTAGGGCAACGAAGTGGGGAGGGATTCCGTCTGAAATTTGTCTTCCTAGGTTTTGAGTATGGTATCAGCT